ACTTTCACCCTCACTGAGCTACAAGATTTACATACACTCTTCACAAACAATGAGAGTTAATTAAGAAAATGGAGTATAAATCGGTTTCAACCTGAAGACAAACCCCTGAGTCATAGTAACACTTCCCCTTCCTTCCCAAGCTCTGTTGTCCATCTGAAGTTACTGTAATTAGCAACACCTATTTGGGTTTTCAATTGCAGTGATGAGATCAGCAGCACTCCTTTTTGAACTCTGACATTACAGCTCCTTTTATAAACCTCTATTATTGATTGATGCAAATTATATCAGCAACGTAATTTGAACTGACATGTGGTCCATCCTAGGAACAGATCATCTCTGTCTGTGTCCAGTGCTAGTAAATTCTTTTAATCATCATCAGTTATGAGGAACTCAAAATTTTTCTGTGATTTTAGGTGATCAGACATTTTCACTGCTGTAGCCTAAACCCTAGGAAGCCCTTGTGCCAAAGAATTAGACAGAATCCAGTTCATCTGTGGTTTAGAGAACAAAATAATATAAAAGAGAGACTAAAATGGGGAGATGTTCAAAATCAACTTCCTCTTAGATACTTCTGATTCTTAAAATTAGAGGCAAGTCCAACCACAACAGGCACTTGTATGTTGCTGACTCATTTTTGAGTGGCAAGTGTCCCTGCATTTTCAAATACCAACTCTTCCCTTGTATAAGGAAAATATAGTATTTGACTACATTGCCTTAGAGCATCTGAAGGTTTGGGGAAAATAAACTAACCAAAGTCTAAACCATCTGGCAATATCTTTAACCAGAATATGATTAAGGAGTAGTTAGACTTACCTTCTCTGTGTAAATCCTAGTGTGAAGTTAAATGCTTCTGCACATCAGAAGATGCTGTCTCCTATAATTTTAATTCAATAGTTAGGCAAACAGTCAAAACCCAATTCATGTTATGACTTTAAAATTATTTTCTTCACAACTAAAAAATTGCACTAAGTTATCTTGCACAAACTCACATAAGATGTGGGATCCTTGCATAGTAGAAAATAAATGTGGCTTGATATTCAAAGGCATTTATTTTCTCTCTTGAATCTTATAAGTGTATATGAGATGTGGTGTGTTCTGGTCTCATTAGTTTACATGGTATACAGTACAAATATTATTAAACACCACTTTTCAGTCTGAATGTACCCCTAGTTTTACCAACTATGGCAATTCTTTTCTCTGTTTTCATGCTTTGCCAATCTGCAGTCTACTGTGAATGCAAAAAAAATCCTCAGAGGTCTGGAAGTCTTGCCAGCAGATTAACTACAACAAATCCTTGCTAGCTACAAAATGGTTAAAGGTCAGGTTGAAGGCTTGACAATCACATCACTTAGATGAACCAAATAGGAAAAAAAACAACAAACAAAACAATACAAAAATTCCCAAAAACTCCAATCAAACAAAACATCAGCAAAACAAACTAACTACAAAAAAAAACCCCCCACCCCCCCCCCCCCCAAAAAAACCCAAAAAACAAACAACAAACAACCAAACAAGGTCAGTTTTTAAGAAAACTTTTATGTGTTTGGGACAGCTTAAAATGTCTCTCTTTCTTCTGAGACTATTTTTTGTGATGGGGATCCAATGGGCAATACTGCCTGTATACTACCTGTGTCTGCAAGATGTGATCTGAAAAGAAAGGAAAGAATGACCCATTAAATTCTCCCAAAATATATTTAGATATGAAATATCTACGAAAGATTTGTCTTGGGGTTTTTTTCATTATATGCAGCCAGATCCTAAATGTAATAGATTTTAACCTCTTTGCTCACAATATGATAATTGACACAAGACAGATTTTGGTAACTGAATTATTGACTACAAAAAGATATATTAAAAACTTAGCTCATTGTAGATAATACAAACTTGATTTTTTATCCACAAAATTTAAGCACTTTTAGCAATTTAAGTTAAACTGGGAAAAAAAACCCAACTATGCATTGGCTTTGGGCTCATAACAAAAAGAGCTTCTCCTGTTTTATGAGCCTTGGATTACCAAATAACCTTGACAGCTGAATCAGTGTTCCATGACAACAAGCAGGTCATTGATAAATAGCAACAAAACTATTAGATGTTGAATTTAAGAGATGAGTAATAGAGAAGCTAAATTATAGGTTTATCACTTGACAAAGTACAGCTTGACAAATCAGTGATAACCTACATGTGAGTCTATGTATGAATGCACACAAGGATAAGAGAGAAATAGGAACTTTTAAAGACAAAGGTGAAATTGGCATGACATGAACGTTACAAAGGCATAAAAACATTCTTTTCATGGTACTAGAATTCCTGTTTTCCATTATCAAATCCTTAGCAAATCATATGTACTTGAAAAACTGCCACTTGTGAATTTTTTTTTCTGGCTTTATTTAAATTTTTTTCATTTTAAGTACTGTAAGGTAGAAAAGGGGAGGAATTTATGATATGTGCTAGAACTTTAAACTGGTTCCTGCAAACTAATAGATTCCAATTAAAGCTCAAAACCAGCAGTTTAAAGGACCAAAAGCAAGAGCTGAAAATCTTTCTCTGGAGAATGGAGAGCAATTTGAATTTCCTAGGAAATAAGTGTCAGCTATGTTTGTCAACTGGCTGAAATCAGAATGGTGTAAGGAATGACTTTACTGAGTTGAATCTTATATATTTTTAAAAAATTATGGGACCTATAGAGAAAATTTGGATGGGTGACAGCTTATGTACAGAAAAAGGTAAAATAAGGATGAGCTAATGCATCAGTCTTTCATAGAGGAGAAATTTTCTAGCATGACCAATGTGCTCCCAGGAAGATCTGTGGGCCTCCTGTCCCAGCTTTGATGCAGCAGCTTTTGATTTACTGCTGTAAACTGTGGTGGTTCTGTTAGGTGGGATTCTTGTGCTCTCACTCCCCAGAGCAGAGATGCAGGTGGCAGAGGGAAGCAGCGCTCCCACACGTTTTGACTGTGGTCTGCTGACATCTCAGTTTGACTCTCTTTGCCGGTTGTGGTGAAAAACCAACATGTTGAATAAGTGTTATGCCAGTCCACAGTGTGGGACATGTAATATTATGTTACTAGAAAAAGACTGTATTCAATGAGCAATGAATTTACCATATTGTCACATTTTCCCTTAACTTGAGGTTAGTCAAATCTTGACAATATTCAGACAAATTACAGGATTAAGGCTAAAGAAATGCCATTTACAAATATGAATTAAGTAACTGTATTTCCTTAGAAACAAATTATGCATATTTTTTGACACTGCATCCACCTCTGATATGTGTTAAATGGGCATTATTTCCAGAGGTACACTGATACTACTGTGTTTCTGACCTTTATTATGACATTCATGTTATCCTTTATTCATAAATAGAAATATCACAGTAGCCATATTTTATTCAACTACAGCATATGCTTACCATCCAATATTCCTGGATTCTAGATGCCCATAGCATTTTAGTGTTCAGAAGATTGAGAATATCTAGTGTTTGAGATGTATATGATGAAATTTTAACATCCCCCCTAAAATGCAGATCTTTGTATTTACATGTCCTTTATGTTTGCAATGAGGTGCTTCATGTTTGCCAAAAAGGTGCATAGCCAAAAATGGGGTTTGTTTTGCTTTTTTTTTTAACAAAAAGCTCAAGTTAGTCATATGCTTTCATCCAAAACAATCGGAACCTGAGCCAATTCAGTGTGCATAAGATACCTTGGAAGGATGAATTTAGGATGTTGAGCTTGTAATATGTGTAACCAATAGGAGTTCTCTTCATACATGGCTTTTTTTTTTTTTTTTTTTTTTTTTTTTTGCAAATCTTGCAGCTAAGTCTGTGAGCCAAATGCAAAATCCAACACCTGAGGGCATCGTACAGATTTGTAATGCACCCTGGGGGTACCTAAGGTTGAGAAACCACTGAGTGGATTACACAGATCCATATATACAGTTTTTTCATCTCTGACAGATATAATATGAGCAGTATTGTTCATACTACAAAAAATTTCTTAGTATACTGTGTGAGAGAGAAAAATAAAATCATGTCAAATCACTTACATGAAAAATTATTAAGAAAAGAATGTTGAAGATTCCAGCCTCTTTAGGGAAGTGTCTTATGTTGTAATACCTACATGCCATCGAGATTTGTACAGTGACAAAGGTTTGGCTAAATAACTGTAGAACCACGTGACTATTCAGATCAATATATGGGTCTATTAGGAGCTGAGAAAAATGTATTAAACCTGCTAAAGATCTACCTCTCTAAATTTCTGCTATTCTTGCTCCTGTCAGTCTCCCGAAAGTTAGGCATCTGAACTGGGTAAGACCTTTCCCAGGGAACAGCTCCCCTATTTTATCACATAGAAATCGCTTCAAGTGAGATGAATAGCCCTTTGCAGGAGCCTTTATTCATTTTCTTTTCAGAGACCTGAGTAGAGCTTAAACCTCCAGTCTTTATGGCTGGAGTAAACTAAATCAAACCAATGCTCAGTACTAGTATTGATAGAGGGAACTGTGTTGCAAAATGTTATCAATATACAGTGTGTTTCTCACAGGTTTTATGCTGTTGAACTCAACATGTGTAATTGGATGTTCATACTGATGTAAAGGCTAAGGACCAAAGGCTCAGGGTTTTGTAATACAACACGTGGTATAATTTTCCCTATAGCTGTTTTCCTGGATTATCAACACAGGCTACAATTTTGTTTATCTTTTCCTTAAGGCTGTTTGGTTCTGTTTTTTTTTTTTGGTTTTATCTTACTCTTCATTCTCCTTCCCCCAAAAAGATTTTGGGATCAGGGAAAAGAAATGGGACTTCCCTGGAGCCTGGACTTTCAGTACCTGAGCTAAAATTAAATATCTGCTAGGCACAATTTGCTGAAACTGCAAGTGATTTAACATTTTGTCAATCCTCACTTTTATACTTAGAATTAAACTCTAAGGTGGTGTTATTTTTAAAACAGTTTGCTCCTTACTTCTCCCATTTTTTCTCTGTCCCTGACAATTGATCATTGCAGTGCCTACAAATGCTCCATGGCAAAGAAGAGAAAAGCTGAAGATCAGATATCAGGTGTTCCCGTCAACAAAAGGAAGTCCCTGTTAATGAAACCCCGCCACTACAGCCCCAGCTTGGAATGCAAAGAAGAAAATGAAGACAGGACAGAGTTACAGGAAGACATCAGTGTCCTCGAAAGCAGCTCAACTCCAGGTAGTTGCTTGAACTCCACTTGAACTTGAAATTCCACAGGAAGGGAGATGATAAAAAACAGTATTTTGAAACAGGATGCAAGACATGTTTGACTTCTAGGCGAGCTTCTGTCCATATTTAACCATCATGTATTTTGTTAAACTTGTCCTGGGGTCTATTAAATGCTTTGCAGGTCACACAGAGACAACTACTGCAGCAGGTCAGATATGGAACAGCATCTGCTTCTCCACTACCTCTGTGCAAGAGCAAACTTAAGCCCACTACCATCCTACACATTTCTGAAGAGCAGATTTTCACTGGAATATATAGAGCTCTTAGGAGGGAAAAATAATGCTTAGCAAAACATTGTTGACTTTAACATTTAGCAAAGCAATTTCATGCGTGCGACTGCTGTGTGTGTTCTGTTTAAAACGATTATTAGACTCAGCACTTTTATACCTGTTATTCCAACACTGGTAAGCCAAACACATCCAACAATTTATAGCAGCTTATACAATGTGTATGCTGGAAAATATGGACAAGGTTGGGGGGACAGAGAGATATAGCTATAGTATGTTTTAATTACTCTTCCTTTCTAATATATTTTTATATATATTCAAGTTGAACAAAAAGTCTCAAACCAAATTGTTTTTCACATATTTAAGAAGTCCTGCCAAAATAGTTAATTGGACAAGTGAAAATATATCAGTGGAAGACATCAGGAAGACACTGGCAGTCACCTGCACACAGCAAATGTTAAAATAAAAGGAATGTGATCTGGCACTGGGAAATTAGTAATTCTAGATAATATGTAAGCTGAATGAACTTAAATGTCACTCGGTTGCTGGTTGCTATCAGAATTAAAAGATAATTTATTTTTCACTCATTATCTTCTTATCAAATGTCTTTGAAGGACAGGGTGATAGATTATATCATCTAGGGTCCCTTTACCACAAAAGACTGGACTTAGATGGTCTTTTAAGGTCCCTTCCAGCCTGGGCTGTCCTATTATTTTGTGATGAACTGAGATTAGTTATTTGGGTATTTATCCACTCTAAATTGAAATCCCTTAAAACAAACCCCACAATTTTTATACATATGATTACTATAAAACACACAGAAGAAGAAGAAGAATGTCCTGCACATTAAGGAGTCAAATCCTGATTCTACCAAAATCAGTGGAGGTCTTAGTGGCATTTCTATAACAGCAATGTTTTCAGTCATCTGTCACTTGTAAATCTTCTAGAAGGAGATTTTTCCAAAGGTCTGCATCCCATTTCTGTGAAAGTCTAGAAGGTAGCTCCATCTTCAAACAGAACATTAATGAGCAAGGTGATACAAAATGTCTCTGTCTTTTGGGTGATATTTTTAAGAAAAATTAATCAAGGAAAAAATCCCATCCCTCTCAGTGCTTGTTCAGACTGCAGGGAATGTTTCTAGCTCTGAACACCAGAAGGCAATCTTGGAATAAGAGTTCCTGTAGGGTTCTTATCTTGGGGTTTTGTTATTGCTTGTTTTGCCTTTTTTTTTTTTTTTTTTAGATATTTTGATTTTAGCTAAATTTTTTGTGTTGATTCAGCCTTGTTCCTGACTATCCAGAGTTTCACTCAGTAACATATTTTTTCTTCCCCTTTTTCTGTTCTCTGCACATCTTGAAGAACTTGATGAAGGGAAATTGCTATGATGGGTTTAAAGGTAGACTCTGGCACAAACCTAAGTTACTTAACAGTTTTACGTTCCCTTTTTAAAAAAAGGGCAAGTGTTGGGCCAAATCCATTCATTGAAAAATAGGGAAACCATGCCCTTCAGTCAAAACAAGAAATCCCATTTGATTTTTAAAAGATTTATTTGATACCAACATGATATATTCTACCCTGCTTGTTCAGTGATTATACAACGCACATCTTTTGCATAAATTTTACCAGCTACAAAACAAATTTCAGTGAAAGCATAAATTTGGTCTGGGTATGTAGGTACTTGGGATTTCTTGGTGTAATATTGCTCACTTTATTATGAACTCATGATTCTGTTAGTTGATCATGATTCTGATCATGGATTGATGCAACTGTAAACTAAGCTGAGTTTTGATTATTTTAAAAGTAAATTTACAGCCTGTAGATGTGAAAAGCAAAGCTGGGACAGCTGAACTATTAAGACTGGTTCAACAACAAATTTTAAAAGATTGCTTTAAAAATTACTGATTGTTTAAGGAACAATTTTTTTTTTGTGAACTTACATAATTTTTCATTTTTCATGCATAAAAATAATTGAACAAACCTTTTACCATTGAAATTTTTTTGTTTGTTTTCTTTTGATGGGCAGGAGTTTTCTTTTAAGACAGATCTTGTTACTTTTTGAAATTACCCACTGATAGGATTCTGTTATTTTCCAAATGGCAGAAGAGCAAATAATGGAAAACCATTTGACTAAAGTTAGTTATAGAGCCAAATCATCATTCTTACTTGCTGAGATGTGAAAAGATGGCAGACTTTGTTCAGAATACTGCAATTTGTGTGGTACTAGACCAGCTGCTAAAAAGTTACATGAAGGTTTACAGACACTTCTTTAAATACAACTTTATGCACACAGTTCACAAGGCCACCTCTCCCTGCATGAGTCCAATTTTCTGAAGAAGAATAAGAATTAATCAATATTTTCTTTTAACATATAACAAACAGTTGAACCAAACAATTATGTAAACTGGAAATGACCCAAAATGCTAACAGTTTGGCAGCAGTAAAGTGAAATGCATTGTGGTGCACATGTGCATTTTTGTCCCCCTTTTCCCCTCCACAATAATCTGCACTTAATAGGAATATTTTAAACTATGTAGCTAAGCAACAGAGGTAATTGTTGCTTTCTAGAGCTTTTGTTAGGCACTCTAACACAGCCCAAATATGCATAATTAGGTATAATGTCTATAAATCATTATTGTACACATGTGGGTAGTTAAGTGGATTGAGAGAATAGTTCAATGAATTGGACATATTCACTGAAAATGCTTTTTATTTGTTTTCTGTAGTTCATAATACTTTAAAATTATCATAACCCTTTACACTTTCTCTTAATAGCTCACAGTGTTATTGAGAGAAACTTCATTTGCATTTTAGGCTATGCTTAATTTATTATTTAAACCTGGAGTTCTTCTGATTCAGGAAAGGACAGACACATCTTATGAAACAGTCTGTGCTTGTTTATTCATCCTCCTTTCTAGGAAGTAAAATGTTAAATTTTTCAGTTTATGTTGAATAGATCCCAACAAAAGAATGTACCCTATAATCAGCATTATTGAAGGGGCTAGTGTTGTGACTAAATTCTTCCCTTCATCCAAAAATGCTTTTAGTTACTATGGCAATATTTACTTGATCCTGGCAAAACCAGTGTTGATTTTAGAGAGATAATTACCAGAAAGGAAGATGATGGAGATGTATTTTTGAGTGTCCTTGTCAGAGGAAATGTTTATAAAAAATTAAATGAGATGCAAAAGGCATATTGTCTTCCACACTGACAACCTCTCCTACATGCAGCCTTTATTACCTGCTGGCTGCCGCTTTTCTTCTGAAGAAAGATGTTTATAAAGACAGGATGCATTTCAGTGGTGTCTTTAACAAGTCCTTTATGAGTCTGTACATAACAACCACTTCTGTTTGCCTGTGCATGACCTGATCTATCACTTAGTGTGGCAATTTCAATGGTGACCAGGAGCCTGCCCTTTGTGAAGTATTGAGGATTTTTCCATCAAGGTCTCTCATGGGATCCGAGGTGACAGGGAAAGTAATTAAGGTTTATTTTGAGAAAATATTTGGGATTCTTAAGTGAAATAAAAGTGAAATAGTTCAGAGGAATTTTAAAATATGTGTGCTTATATATATATATATATATATATATGCATGCATGTTATATAGTTTATATGTATAAATGTAATATCAATGTATCGAACATTATATTTACATACATGTATATGAGTGCGTTTGCATGTGCGTATGTTCTAAGAAAATACGTTTTCACCATCAGTGAGAAATGGGGATATAATTTTTTCTCATATAGTGCTGGAAATATAATATAAAGTATATATCATTTAAGAAGGGTTTTTCATCATGCTACAAGTAGTCATTTCAAACAGATCCTGGGTGTGAATTCAATCATTTCAGAGTACCTTTCTGAGTAGTGAAACAGCAATTGATAAGTCAATATCTTCACATCATTTCTACAAGATACAAAAAATATTTATTCTTACATATTTCTCTTATCTATTTTTCTCATACAGAGGACAGTACTACAAAATCATCTGAGGAAACCCCTCATTTGGGTGGACAAGAAAATTCCAGTCAAACAAAAGACAACTACACCAGCTATCAGGATGCCATGGCCAAATCTTTGATGAACATGGGAAAAATAGCAAAAGATGCACCCAGTCAAGCAGTGGCAGAAAATCTAAATGATAGTGGCATTCAATCATTAAAAACAGAAAGTGATGACACTGATGAATGTTATCTGATTAGCTCAGCTGAAGGAAAGGAAAAGACTGCTATCTCTGACACAAAATACTGTTCATCTGAGGAAAATGAAAGTAACTCTGAAAATATGGACAACGAGTGGGATAGCTCTTCAAATTTCTCAGAGGAAACTAGTGTAAAGCCCCATGTAACTCCAAAATATATTGTAGAGTGTAATCAAGCCAGCATCCTGGAAGTCCCAGAAATTAAGCAGGAAGAGGTTGAATATGGTCCTTGTGAAACACTCTGCGACTCAGAAACAGAGCTAAGAGCACACCAGGAGCCTCACTCTGATCCTTTTGAGAAAAGAATTCAGAATATCTTCCCTGAAAGCGAAGAAGACGACAACGAGTGCCTGTCAGAAACCACAGACGTGTCAGTTGAGCTGGACAAAACAAAAGGGAACTTGAGTTTGCTAGAGCAAGCAATCGCTCTGCAGGCAGAGCAAGGGCATGTGTTTCACAGCACCTACAAGGAACTGGATAGGTTTCTTCTGGAGCATCTAGCAGGGGAAAGGAGACAAACCAAAGTTATTGACATTGGTGGGAGACAGATATTTAGCAGCAAACGTAAGGAAGTATTTTTGGCTCTTCTTGCTGGCTTAAGCATTTGTCCCATGACTAATAGAGTATTCTGAGCTGGGTTTTATAGCAACAGTAAAGAATCTGGAATTTAGCTTGTAATTTTGTTAATTATGTACCTTCACACTAGTGCCTCACATCTAACCAGGTTAAACGCTAGGTACTTGGCTTCCTGCCAAACTGCTATGTGAAATCATCAGTAATGGGTACTAAAAGGCCTGTGTAGCTGGCACTGACATTCCTTCTCCTCCTTTTCCTCCTCCTCTGCTTCCTCCTCTGTAAGGTGCTAATACAAACCAAAGTTTCAGCAGCCAAAAGGCAAGGCATTAAAACAGTACTCAAGGGCAAATTAAGGGTGAAAAATCTGCCTCTCCCAAAGATACTACCTAATTCCTAAGCCATGTGTTTTCTGAGTTCAGTGTACTTCATTAGTATCAAGTATAGTAAAGTATAGTCAAGTGTAAGTATAGCATTAGTATATTAGTATCAATCATTATTACATCAATCAACGTTACATTTTTCTATATCTAGCATTTCTGAGCCAGGAAAGCACAATCTATGCTCTTCTCCCTCATTCACCAATAGCAGAAACACCAGTAGATTCAAAAATCTTTATTGTTTCTGAACGTTTGTGATATCCTAAAAACCCATAGAAACATCACTCAATTTTCGTCACTTAATCAGGCTTCCAGAAGTGGAGACTTAAAATATTTGGGTTTGATTTATTAACTGGGCTGCCTTGTATGAAACTCCTCAACTGAGGATAATTACAGAACATCAAGAAATGCCATTTTATAAGCACACTCCCTTCTGTAGTAAGTAACAATACATTCATCTGTCCTTTGACTTTTCCTTTTGGCCTTGCAAACACCCCGAGGTCACCGTAGCACTGATGCTATTTCTGCTTTTGATAAATGATTTACTTTAGTATTTCTAATGTAACTTTAGAGTAGTCCCTGTGGACATTGCAAATATTATAGTAATTTACTTATCTAAAGCATTTAGTGTGAAAGAGGACTGACATTTTTAAGAGCTGCAACTATAAAATATTTCCTTCAGTACTGGGGAAGAAAATGCAGACATCTCATTTTTGTGTCTCGAGTAGTGTTTTCATTAGTATGTCTTAAGCTGTGCATGCATGGTATTAATCTACCTTTTTATTAAACTATGTGAACCTTTATTTGCTCAGATGACTTTGGCATATGCTGGAACTTTATAGATATCTTTCCCTACCCTTAGAGCAGCTGTACTCATCAGGCTCACATTGGTGTCAATGTGACTTTCTCAAAGCACACATAGGAAAGAGCAGTGATGTAAGAATGGCAGAGTCTATCCCTTCCAGATTTACCTCGTATTATAATTAGCTGTGGTTTCCAGGTGAGCTCAGAGGTAATATCCATGGAGGAACATACCAGGCTTTGTTCAGATTGTATAAACACTGTGATTGTAGTCAATGTTGTATCAGGCACATAATATTACCACTTTATTTAATTAACTGGGTTTTATTTCTAAAAAAATATACCATAAAATCCATCAGCTCTTAATTTTCACTCTTGGGTGCTAGATCAGAAAAAAAAAATCTAATCATGATAAACCTATCCAATTACCGGAGGAAACACTAAATCATATTTCTGGGTCCCTCTTTATTTTCTGTGCACTATTGCAGCGCTTTCCATTTGCAGTGATTCTAAAAAGGTTGTGGTCTCCTGATGACGCTGAGTCTATTTGCTTTCCTCTCTATTTCTTTTTTTTTTTTTTGGTCTAAAAACTTGCCAGGAAGTTTAACCCTCATCTTTCCCTGATGATTCTGTCCCTAAGTGCATTCTACCTCATAGTCCAGAAAAAAATGAGCTTAAAGGAGGCAGCTCCCTGTGCTGGCTGCAGCTGTTTTCTCCCCCAGCACCAAATGCTGTTGGCAGCCAATCACAGATGGAGCTAAAACCATCCTCAGCAATTTATGCGGCCACTTCCTCCAGATTTCTCACAAGAGAATTTCTGGACCAGAAATCATTCCTTTCTCGCCCAGACTTTTGATCCTGCATTGGAAATCAAATAAAGGTTTTCTGACCAGTGTTTCTTGCACAATTCTAGGTGCTTGAAACAGGAATTGGGAGGCTGTTACAGAGTGGTAGCAGCGGGGCTGGGCTGAGACCTCGTCTTTGAAAGGGTATCGGCTGCTCCATGTTTTCAGTGTCTTTGTGGGCTGCTCCACAAAGCAGCATTGCCATGTGTACCAGAGGGAGCTGCTTGCCTTGCCTCTCAAATGTAAAGTGGCATGTATTCAGTTTCCTAACAAAGAACCTACAGCCTAGAGATCTGTGATATTTAAGGAATGGCTTCTGGTTGAAATGCTTTTTGTTTGTTTGTTTATTTGTTTCACACCTCAGCTTTTATTTGGTTGTCCCAGCTTCCTGGAGTCTGACATTAACAGAGCAAAATATTGTTTCTCCTTTTTTTTATTTATTCCTTTATAGATCTTACTGTTGGCTCATGCTGCCAGTTTTCTGGCTTATTGGATTGTGGCTTCTGTCCTGTTTGAGGCTCTGAATGGAATAAATGACACTGCAATCCTAAAACTATATAATTAAGCACATAAATAGCATACTGGGAGAGGGAAATAATTGTTTAAAGGACACAGTGTGAAAACCTGAAGTGGTATGCCAGTTGCATATATCCCTGTTAAAACTTTGGACAGGAATTAAATCTGAAATATAAAATAGAGAATATCATACTGCTAAGATCACTCAGCTGAGCACAGACAGGGGCTAAACCCAAACAAAATACTTATCTGATTTCTCTGCAGATTCACCCAGGCCTGAAAAGAGAGAAACCAAATGCCCCATCCCAGGATGTGATGGAACAGGGCACGTGACTGGGCTGTACCCTCACCACCGCAGTCTCTCAGGCTGTCCACATAAAGTTAGAGTGCCACTAGAAAGTGAGTATCGTCACCCTGCAGCCCAGAATAACAACTGGATCTGTTTCGGTATTGTGTGTGCTTATGCTGGAGAAGAATCCTCTTTTTTCTGCATGAGATAGCAGGATGTGACTGGGAAAGAAGCCATCACACCTTTGCTCATAGTCACCATCCTGCTTCCCACACTTGTGTAGCTCAAGTGCTCCTCAGCAGCATCTTTACAAACAGCAGGCTCCTTAGGTAGCCTGGGAAGAACAAGGTCAGACAAACTATTGCCACGCTGCCAGGAGACCTGCATGCTGCAGTTCCATGAATCTTCAAGAAGCTGCTCACTCACACCTTTGCTAAGGCACAGACATCGCCTGCTTGCTCTGGAGCCGAGGCCTCATTTGCTGCAGTCGCACATGCAGGCTGCTGGTTCTCATTGCCAACAGATGAGAGGCCTGGGCATGCTTATGCAGAGATGTTTTTAGCATCCCCCTTACTGCTGAGCTCAAAAAGGTTATTTCCATCAGTACATCCCAGCGCTGGTCCACAGCAGGTCCCTGTCTTGTGACAGTAGCACGCTAACCCTTTTATGCCCAGTCTATCCTGAATTTCCCTGCTTATTTCTAACTGTGCCGCTCTGATTACATTGGCTTGCGTGTGTGTGTGTGTGTGTGTGTGTGTGTGTGTGTGTAATCCTGCAACATGATGCAATGAAATACTGCATAATAAGCCAAAACTTAATGTGAAACTATCTGCTTAAACAACGTAGTTAGTCAGATTGTTATTTGTGGTGGTATGCATAACAAAAAATTAAAAGGATATTTGCACTTTACCAAAATCCTCTTCCTAGCTGTAACCCTCCTCTCTTTTAAGTCTGGTACTAAACAGTATTCATGGAAACATCTGCTGAATTAAGCAGGCTGCATTTGGAAGTCCTTAGCAGCATTAACTTCCTAAAAACTTAAAATTAACAACTCCTTGTTAATTATCACACTTCCAATTAGATGTGCTCTGTCCTGATGAAAAAAAAAAAAAGTTAGAATTTTGTTCCTGGCAGAACAAACCCATGGAATGAACAGTCAGCTTTTGTGAAACACCGTGCCCCAAAGATGTATAATGTTTAACATGGAAATATTTGTCAGTTTTAGTGAAGGTAATCCACATCCAAGGGCATAAGAAATGTACAGGCAAGGGGTTGTAATTGCTATTAAGAGTGTAAACTGATGCTTGGAACTATTACTGATTGGTCCAAGGCAGTTTCAGCACAGCTCAGATGACCAGAAGGTGTAACGTTCAAAGGGATATACTCAAAATATCAGATAGAATGTATAAACAGCCTTCCTGTACTTGAGAGCTTTCATTCCCTGGGACAGAGAAGGACTGCAGTTCCATGGAACATGGACTGTATGGCCCAGGGCTCCTCTATCATCTGCCCTTTCCAGTGTTAAAGGGCTTCGTGATTTAGCATCTTTACTGATTTCCACTTATGTTCCTTCAAAGTCTGTATGAAGAATTTTGTGCATGTGGGAAGCCACACCACAGTAATATAGAAATAAACTGGTTTATGCTGGAGGCACCATGGTCACTGTGTTGAAGGTCCTTTGCCTCCCCTATTCTTTTTGATAAAATGTGAAAGAACTGAGAATCTGAGTTCAAAGAGGATATGTTCATTTTTTTTTAAGATATGTGTTTTTAATTGATGCACTTTATTATCAACTTTTTTTTTTTTTTTAATTTCTGTTTAGTTCTGGCCATGCATGAAAATGTTTTAAAGTGCCCCACCCCAGGATGCACTGGAAGAGGACATGTCAACAGCAATCGCAACACACACCGAAGGTAGATCAGAAAAATTCCTGTCCACTTAAAACCTAACACGTACTCGGGAGTAAATTGATAGGAACATCTTGGAATTAGATGCTATGTACTACACTGAAGAGTGTCTATGAACTGCAAGGGCAGCCTGTATTATTTATAACCAAATAATTGTGTCTAATTCCATTACATAAAAAATGGCTGCAGCACAGAGGATGGCAAATTCCACTAGTGTTTTTATAGGCGAGATTTAAAGCTACAATTTCATCACAGTCCTCACATTGAAAAATCACCATGTACAAAGGGAAGGGATGAAAAAATACATTATTAATCCTACAACTGGAAAACCCACTGGAAAGCAAAACCCATTTATTTTGCACCACTACGTGCTAGCCATTGACAGGAACTTCCAATCAGGGAACATTCCCTTTTAGCAAACAGAAAATTTTAAGTGAACTCTTTTAAAATTTAAAAGTACCACTTATTACCCTCAGGAATACCATCTTCCTTCCTGGAACTCTCCTGTCTGTTTAACATGCTACCTGCAGGGAGAAAGTAAAATTGAGAAAAGACTTCCAAACAGGCAGCTGGGGAATCATGGCTGGACTGCAGGTGAAGCAGAGAGCCACTCTGTCTCCAGCAAGCCATTGCTGTCAGCACAGCTCTTCTCACTACTGCTTTCTACTGGAAGCAGTATATTCCATCATATTGCATCTGGGAAAATATAATGTCAATCAAACTTGGGATATAAGAATTTCAAAACCAAGTCTCTTTGTTGATCTGAATTTCTGTGAGATTTTGGTGTTTCTTGTTTTTTGATTGATTAGTTACTGCACCAAAATTAGAGTAGGTTTATCATACTCTTTTAATACTAAAATTAGTAAGTCAGTCTTTATCAGACATGTGAAAAGCTTGTCTACAAGAATATATAAGACACAAGCAAATATTTTGCCTCTGTTTTTCCTGTTTTAAATCCCTAGTCATCGTTGCAGCACATCAGCTGTATCATGAGCAACCCATGAATAGGATAAGAAAACATATTCTAATCTAATAAAACAAACAGGAAAATATAAGCTAGCACAACTCGAAATGATAAAATGTGTTCTTTGGTAACAGTCTCTCATATATCCCTGTTTTTTTTTCCCAAATTCACTTTCCTTTTAATCAGCAGGAGGCTTATATGCATGGTTTAGCTGATAAAGTAAATGTCATTTGTCAAAAAATTTACTAGTGACTTGCCAGACACAAAACATCAAAGCTGAACTGTGGAAAACTCCTACATGATTCAGTTTCCAGATATATCACCTAAAATACACAGATTTCACAGTTTTGCATTAAGGATAGAAAAACAGATGAATCTGGGCTATAGCAGCAGCAATTCCCTTAAATGCACAGACCATCAAAGTCACTGGTTTCCACAGAAAAACAGCATGCATCTCCTTTGCACAATAATTAATTTCAATGTTTTTTCCTTGTTGTTTCTGTTCTTCACCTTTGCTTTTAAACAGCCTTTCTGGTTGTCCAATTGCTGCAGCTGAAAAGCTGGCAATGTCCCAGGAAAAGAACCAGCTCGAGTCTCCAAAAGCTGGGCAGTGCCATGATCAGACTCACAGGTAGGAGCCCTCACAAACCAGTTTCTCCAAACAAACAAACAAACTCTTTTTTATGTATAAACTCTGTTGACTGGTCCTCAGATCTCTCGCCCACTTCAGATTTTGGCTTCAGTGGTAACCCAGTTTTCCAAGATGAACCTCTACAAAACTATCTGATCTGTAGGTTCTTGTGTACATGGCTGACATTAAAGACAAGAAGCGTATCTTTGGATAAGCAATCAAATATTTCCTATTAAATCTTACTTCCAAACAAGTAACCTGATCAGAACAATTAATAGAATTTCTTTATTTTTAGTTGATTGGTTTAATTACTTTAATTTTTATTTTATACAATGACATCAAAAAGGAGAAATACTTTTTAGTGCAATTGTATTTTATCTGAGTTATATGGACCCTACAGACACGCATAATTTGCACATCATTGGCACCACGACCATTACAACCTATTATATTCAGGTCTATTTGGGGACACTTTAATTTGTGGATTATTGACATGATCAGCTCTAATGGTTCCTTCAGAGCCATTACAGAATATTATGTCCATGTGTCTGCCAACTGCATGTGCCTTAACTCTACATATGAAAAGTCCTAAGGAAATTGCTAAAGACAAGTAGTTACTGAACATTAACTAAATGGAATAACACACCATAAATCATTTGTTTCTCCCAAACAGCACAAGCAATTATTTCAGGTCATCTTATATTATATTTATACCATACTCATTCACTGTAAAATGAGAACAATGCTGATCCAAAAAAAACCTAAAAGCTAGAAAAAAATCCAGACAAATTTTTAGAACTAAAGGAAGCGCCAATCTAGCAGTAAGTTAGTAACTTCCTTGTAAGGAGCTCAAACTGCTATTATTGAATACTGCATTTTTTAATGTCTTCATCTTTTAGTTTGTGAAGCAGTCAAGGTACTTTTTGACTACTAGTCAGCCGTCATGTTTATATGGTTTATTTCTTGTATACACCCACCAGTAAGTTTTGTATGTGATAATAGCACATTTTTGGATTATGAGATGCAACAATACCCTATTTTTCAACACAAGGTTATTTAAAGACATTCTTGTCTTTCTCCTTAATTCTTTTCCTCTTCTCTGCAGGACAAATTTAGCAAAGCAGCCAGAGCTGTCTCAGTTCAGTTACAGGACTTCACAGCCAGTCACTTCCTCCAGAGGCACCCTGGGGAAAGAACAGGAGAAGTTTGGGAAAGTCCCATTTGATTATGCCAGTTTTGATGCACAAGTCTTTGGCAAACGCACAACAGCACCTGTGTCACAAGGTCGAAAAACACCTCAGTTTCTTGAATGTAAGCTTGAAATTAAATTTTCTCTTGAAAAAGGGGGAAAATGTCAATTATTTTTTTTCATTTTCACTTGTTCTGCTTTCAAACTTCTAGAATTCTAAAAAGGTCTGTAGAAACCATCTTTAATCATTTGTGTCAAGAATGCTAAATAGAATCACTAATTTGCAAAATATAGAATTATGAAACACTAAATATCATCACTACAAAGTTTACTTTTTTGATGCTTCCTTTAAAAGTAGTTATCAGTGGAAAAGAGAAGTAAAAAGGAATTCTTTATGTTTTACCTGTTGCCTTCTTCCTTGATTAAATGGTGGTATCTTTATGGGAGAGATGACAAATCCCATGGAATGTGGCTGCACAAGATATAATGAACTGTTGTACAAAGAAATCCAAGTTAGGTTCCAAAGATACTTCAGGTACTATTTAGGTGAATCTATACAGATATAATTCCTCCTAGATGAGCACGTGCCCCAGCTACATTAATTCCAGGCCGGGGCTGAATTTGGTTTGGTCCCTCATATTTCTGTACTAAATCATATATGAAGCACAGTCATATCCAATGCAACAAATTGTTATCAAGATTTCTCTTCTTCCATCATTTACAGATTGGCTGAGGTACTACTCTGTACAAATGAGATACCACAGTGCAAACACTGAGAGTTTATTGCAGATGCTCTTCAGAATCTGCATGAGAAACATCAGCAAGATTCTGCCATTGAATTGACCATTATAAAATATTCTTTAGTTTAAATAAACAAATAATTCTGTTCCCATGAGGGAAATGGAAAAGAAATATTTCATTCCACCAAAACTTGAGTTCATAAAAAAATAGATCCAGAACAATGTGAAAAAATTTTAAATTAAAAATTTAATTTTTAAATTAAATTTTTAATTGACTTTTCTTTTGTTAATGACAAAAAAAGAAAATAAAATAGGAGAACAAATTTTGTCCCAATTTTGTCTTTGTCCCAACAAAGAAGAGCATTCATAGTAAGGTGAACAGAAAAGCAAAAAATTTTGTTAATGAATACATTCATATATAAGTTAATTATAATAGAATATGCATCTAATACTATGTTATAAATGTTTTATATATTTATAAAATTTTGTATATTTTTTATATTTATTTGTGTACATGTCTGAGTACACAAAAACACACATATATGTTTGTAGGTTTTTGTGTGAATATATACAAATACTCTATTTAAAATTGCAAATGAAAAGTAGATATTTATCTGACCTGGAAAATAGGCTTGCTTAAATGAAAGCAAATATATGCATTGCCAGCTTCTTGGGTGGCAGATTTTCCAATTTTGTTTGTAAAATTGAATATTCCCTATTAGCTGTCTCTTTGCGTAGATGTATGTCTATTTCACAGGTTCATTTCAAGGAAAAAAATGATTGAAATGTTTTTATAGAAATGCAAATGCATACATATGCAATTTATATATGAAGTATATCAGAGCTGAAGTTTACAGCCTGTTGTTCTTGCAAAGATTGCAATGTGCAGCTATTATTTTAATGGAAAGGTGAAAGTAAAAGAGCGGGTGAGTGATTTAACTCTTCAGGTATACAAAAGTTGGCAATAAGAAGCTGATGATGTAGTGATGGGTTCAGAGTCTTATGTAAATATGTAGCCAGACAAAAGCCCATCATTAGCCCTCTGTGGATTCTGCACTTGTAAACTTTTTTGTTTTTTAACAACACATACACCCGTTATAGCCTTGGGTGATTTTTTCGTTGGTCTGTTGGTTGCTTGGTTTTTTGTTTTTTTTCTTTTAGGATAGGTAATGAAAAATGCACTTTCTGGTCTTTAAACACAATTTAAATTTCATTGTAGTAACTGTTAAAATTGTAGACTGTCTTGTTTGTGCCACAGTGCTGTGCTTACAGCAGGGTAGATAAATCCTTTTTAATTTTCGCTAGAGAAAGAGAGGACTGAATCATGAGGCTTTCATGTATTGCTCTACTGAGATGCCTCTAGTGCTTAGAGAAATGGAATATAGCATTCAGCTACAGTCAAAGCAGATAAACAAGCATTTCTTTCAGAGCATCCCAAGTTTGAGGGAAGATGAGTCCTCCTATGCCTTGTGTAGCTCTTAGCATTAGAAAGCACTTAGCCAAAGCTCTACATCTAAAGGGATCCAGAGCCTTGGGGCTCAGATCTTTAGGGAACGAGCAGATGGCCATATGCAGAAATGTTCTTGATGTATCTGGGTGTAGGCTGAGAAATTGGATTTCGCTTAGTTTATCTTTGTAGGACACTGTGAGGGCTGCAGACAAAAGAAGTGATTATTGCTTCTTTAGAGCAGAAATCATGGTGCTGTGTTCTCCCTGCAACAGTTTATGCCATCCAAGCTCCAAAATCCAAAAGAGAGAGCAGAGTTCTCTCTAACTGTTTTAGAGTAAACACTGCTGATGAAGAAGAAAACATAGAACTACACACATCCCTTCTGTTTGTGAAAGTGCTTTTCTGTTCACCTGTTAGTACTTAATTTTCAGCTGACCTCCCTGTGCCTAATAAAACTGTGTATTATTCCAAATATAGCCAACAAAAGACTGTAAACCAAGATCATATGTATGCTCATTATTTTTTTTTCATTGATTGAAGGATAGACTTAAATTTCTAAATATTTCCACAAAATACTTAGCGCTGAATGTTCCTTACAGGTAATATTTTTATCTGATTTCTCTGCTTCATTCAAGAGCCTGGTTTTGTTCTCCTTAGTCGTATAAACAATGCTATTTAAGTAACAGACTTTTTTATCTAAGTAGAGTAAGCAGTGTTGTTTTAGCTAAGACTGGACAAGTCACTCTTGATTTTTTTAGCACAATAGAGCTCCAAGAGGAAGTCTTTATAAGAGTGCATTTACAATTGCATTTTTCCATTGGGGTGGTGAAATAACGATGGATACCACACTAATGCTTGCTCAGTCTTTCCTTGGACATCATTGTTTTTAATGCTTGAATTAAGGATAAGTAAAATAGAAGTAAAAAAAATCTCAGAAGGTTTGTTGACAGATGTGTATTTCTCAAGGAAAAATTAAATTACTGTGTTTCTGAAGCCATTTTTACAGTAAACCCTTACTGGCAATAGCAAATTGATTGTTTTAAATGTAATCTTTGAATATTTTTTTATGTATGAAATTGTAGTCTGAGAAGCGAAACTATTTAATGGGAAAAATTTCATACATGCAATTGCTAATCAAATCTCTCTTCAACAGCAAAGCATTTTTCAAATCCAGTGAAATTTTCTAATCGACTGCCTAGTGCTAGCGCCCACACACAGAGCCCTTGCCATGCCAACTCTTATAGCTACGGTCAATGTAGTGAAGACACCCACATAGCAGCAGCTGCTGCTATCCTGAACCTTTCCACCCGCTGCAGGGAAGCAGCAGAGATCCTCTCCAACAAACCACAGAGTCTGTCTGCCAAGGTAGGGTAGTCCAAGAACCTGGAGGGTGTGCTAGCTACTGAACTGTGCGAATAAACTGTCTTTCATGTTAGTGACTGCATTAAATCCCCCAAAAGGAGGCTTCTGTTTGCATGCTCTTTTGAAGAGAGGCAGAGGAAAAAAAAAAAAAAACAACAAAACAGTAACGCAGTGACCAGTTCTGATAAAACTAAATAAATAGCAGGAATTATGTTGCTAATTCTTTTCATAATTGAGCCCTAATTACAAGGGGGGAGTTTTCTGGGATGAAAAAAGAAAAAGGTTATTTGAAATCTAACAACAATCTGTGGTGGATAATGAGTAAGATCTGTTTTAAGAGGGAATTTTTCTCCCTCTGAAACCTGCTATTAGTGATCATTTTGGAGACTGACTTAAAAAAATATATAAAAATCATATGATTAATCACGGAGATATTTTGCTAGCAATGGAACAGAACTACCTATGGAGTCTGTTGTGTTTGGAGCCCCTAACAGTTTGGCAAGGTGGAGAGGGGGGGAATAACAACTGATTTTGGTAACATTCTCCTTTCTGCTGGCAAAAGTAGAGAATCAGGCCCACTGCGTTTGGAGATAGATAATTTGGGCAAGTCTGTCATAATGGAAAGCTGCCTAATTTTGTAGATGTTTGTGTGGCTTTCGTGTTTTGTTTTCTGCTCTGCAATTCCTCACAGATCTTTATGATTTACAAATGGTGTTGTGTGAGCTGTGAGCCTTATTTTCTGTGCCATTACATAGTATTATAATGCTGATGAAAATAGGCAAGATTTTCTTCTGATGACAGTGGTGTGGGAGCATTGTTTATTATTTACATTAAAATCACACATGCTCCACTGCAATGAAACTTTTGAAAGCTCTTTGTAGATAAGAGGGAGTCATTATAAGAACTTAAAGAGAAGTCATTGGGGAGTGGAAAGAGGTGCATTTGTCAAAACACAGCACAGCAGGTGTGCTTCTGCTGTCTTCTACAGCTGTTGGTCTACATTTTTGTTGAGGGTTTATTCACCACTGCTAGGAGGTTAGCTATTATTTTTTGAGTGGAACCATTAATTTTGCCACCAGCATAACACCTTGTTAGGTATTTTGAGCCTTGTGCCTTTGCAGAATGGTATCCCCTACTTTGCTGCTTTTGATTTCTCCTTGTGTGTAAAGTTTAGGTTGTTAAAATCAACACTGGGAGCTGCCACGGGGTGAACATTTTTAGAGTGTCCACATGCATTCCCTGTAACTCATTATCTGTTTCAAAGACTGCTCATAGTACCTCTTCTAATGACAGATCTATCCTTGATATCTGCTGCAAAAAACCTTCTTCCATCAGTCTTTAATAGAGACTTCTTCTAGTATGGATATGGAAACTGATGCCAATGGTTAGATTAAATTGCTGCAGCAGCCTTTGGCTGACCTCAGCAATAGACCTCTGTTGCCAGAGAAGAGCAGTAAAGGGACCAGGCATAACCCAAAGATTTTCTCCTATGTACCTGCTTCACAGTTGCCAAATCATGGGGAAGGATTGAATGGAAGTGAACATAACAGTAATGATACAGAGGGGCACTTGGGGCACATAGCTTACTCCTTTTTCACAGCCAGGAATCCAGCCTGAAAGAAAATCACCTGCCTACCTCGCTATCTGCCTGCCTACACTTTTGCCAGACTTTCTGGAGGGCACACTGCTACAAAACATCTGACAGAAGAATCAGAATTAATTTCTGGCCAAAATACAGACAAGTAAGCCCCAAACAGATTTGGTATTGAAAAGTACACAAAACACATTTTTATTTGGTTTTGGATATTTATTACCTTGATCGTACAGGATTCAAACCAAAAAATTTGTGAATTAAGTTGCCAGATTCTCTTCAGTAAAGACACTTTCTAATTTTAAAATATGAAACAATAAAATATTATTTATCAGTGTTTCTGAATTGTGTTGTGGCTAGTGGTGGCCACAAATGTAAATGTTTAATTGTTAGAATATATTACAAATTTTTAGATTATTAAAACACCAGTCTTGAGACTTTATCTATATTTGAACTCTAATAATGCAATAAATATTTCCTTTTGCTACTCAACAGCACACATATTCCGCACGTTTGAAAATAACTCTGTGGAGTGGCTGTGTTCAAAGTCCCACAGTATCAAGTGTCTCAGCCCTGCCCCTTGAAAAACCCTTTTATTCCTTTTTCTAAGAAAACCTGACTTGCATTGTCCATACTCTAGCAGATCAAAGCTCCTGACTTGTGAAGGTGTTTGAGCATCAGGCAGCCTCGCAGCAATCTAATCCTTGGTTCTTTACAGATGGGAGGCTGTGTGGTGGTAGAACAAGGGTATGTGAGAGTGCAGAAGATTTCCCAGGCTTGCTGGAAATATCTTGCCAGTAACACAATTGTCAGATATGTAAAAATATTGTGCTTCTAAGTTTTAAAAGCAGAACTTAAAGTTCAAGCGTTTCAAGTAAATGGCATTTTCTTGTATCTTCTCAACAAGGCATGCATATGTTGCCTTATTAAACAAGTGTGGAAAACAACAAAATGCTTTTTAGCACAAATGTTTTCCCAAGTTTCTCTCTTTTTGCCTCTAAAATTTTATTTCTTGACCCTCAAAGCATTTTCCCTCTCCTGGAAGGTCAGATGGTCTACCCTGAATATTCACTGCTTTCCTATGTATACAGATAACATTTAAATGAAAAAAGTAAATGTATTTTATAACATAGTTCCACATTTCAATAATTTAATGGATATTAAAATATGTATTTCTTATTATCTACATATCAGTTCAAAAGGGAGAGTCCAAGACAACAAAAGAGAAGTGTAGCAAGGATAGAGAAGCCACATTCTGCATTAACAGTACCACTGGTGAGAAAAACTTCCAAAGAGACCTTATGTTCAAGGTGATCTGACAAATATCCCAAGTATAAAAATAATAATTTAAAAAAATAAAACATTAAAATAATACATTTATTCTGAAATGAGCAGTAAAATGAATCTTAAACCTTATCTATGAATTATGTATCAGTTGCATACAAAATAGTAAGATCATCAGATACCTTGATGATACAGTTTTCAAAATAATTAATAGCACATTAATGTTGCACTGTCTGAGCCATTCAGCCTGGGACTGCAGTAAACTTTTCCCCTGAATATAATCCCAACCAGGCAATTCTCATGCAGCCAGTACCCCAAGACAGTCTCCTGGTTGTATTTGATTTGCAGTTTATGTAGCTTCATTCAGCTCCCATAGAAGTCAGCAGAAGGGCTCCCCTAGGAGGCTTAGCCTGCAGTTTCTAGCCCTGTGTAAGAATCCATATCATCATAACTTCCAGGGATCTCCCCTGTTTACAGCTCTCACCACACATGTCTCAGTGAGGTAGCTGCAAGCAATAGTTTATCTGTATCCTCATTACTACTGCTTGCCAAACATTTTGTTGACTGTTTTGGTGTTTTTCCCACCTGTTTAGACAAAATGGCATATGCACACTATGCCTTTAAATAAAACAAGAAAAAAAAATATAAAAATAAAATCACACTTGCTAAAAATGTTTAAATTCCAGCTTTTTTGAACAAAATTGTGTCATCTCTCCATTCTTGGATACTGATGATGGTGAAAATTGCATCAATTATTTAAAAACTGTAGTTAGCACTCAGCATGTTTGTCAGGCAGTACTTTAATCCAAATACCTTAAAGCCTAAATACAAGATGAAAAGTCATCCAAGAGTATCACTAGGTACCATCCTGTAATACTGCTGTGCATATTGCTCTCTAAGCACATTCTTGGCTAGCTTTTTTTAATTTGTGAACTGCTCTGGGCTTAAATTGTGACTCCATTTTTGTCTCAGATGTTGTTGGGCTGTTACAAGTTTTCTCATTTTGACCCAAATTAATATTTTAATTTTCTGCAGAAGTTCTCTCAATTGCTTAAATTTAGGTGTGAAGAATTGAGGACCTGGTGCATGTGTTTTTGTTGGCTAGGAATAGAAAATCTTTTACTCTTTCGAATGGACTTGTATTAAGAATATTCAGACACACACAAGATATGAATCTCATTTTCTTCCAGTACCAGTACTTAAGAGCTCTTTTGAGCTTTCCAAACCAGACTGAACTGCTGGGGGAATGCAAAATCATTGATCATGTTGTTCCTTTGGACTTGTTTGGTGTTAAGTTCTGTGGCTGATGCCAACCAAAGAATATATGAATTCTCTTCTATGTCATGACACAATGTCCCTGATGTCACAGGTTTGAAATAAGACACATGCAGGCACAATAATTTACTCTTTCTGATCCTGCTGAGATAAAGCTTAACTTGTAATCATTACTGGAGACACACTTGAAAGTATTAAATGTTATGAGTGATCAGATGGACCAAAAGCATACGAAAAAATGGAGGAGAAATTTGACAAAAAAAAACAAGCCTCCTTTATTGTCCTGACTGTTGTAATTCAGTTCCAGGGACACAACCTAATTAAGTACTAGAAAGTATTCCCTAATATTTATGTCATAAGACAAGGCTGAAAAAAAAAAAAAAAAAGAGTTTATTGTACAAAGCAGTTGGAGAAGAATACCGACAATTTTTTTGTTGTTGTTTTGGTTTACATATTTATATTAGTCTTCATTTTTGGTAATAAATTACTATTTGTACCTTATCATTCCACTGAATAGCTACTGGAATAAAGAAAATGTGCTCCCATCATTTTTCTTTCATTTTTTTTTTCTGGAATCCTTTTACCCCCTGCTTGTAAAATGTGAGGTGGGGGGATTGGACTGCCACTTAGGAGTTAGTAGGTAAGAAATAACCTGAATTTAATTACTGTGTGTATCCTGTCATGCTCATTGATTTTTCTTCATTGTTTCAGTAGATATTTTCCTGGTTTACACCAGTGTAAATACAGATGTGAGTAAGATCAAAATCAGGCTGCAAAGATTTACACAGCATAAAACAAACATAAGTTAGGAAGTTAAAAGATACATTTTCATCTTTGTTTTGCGTACAGTTTTAAGGAGTAATCAGAACAGTTTACATTGTTTAGTAGCTATATTTTAAATATGTCATGATAAATAGATAAATATAGGCCTGTTCACACATGCACTAGAGTCAACAGCAATAAGATTTTGCCTTCAGTGAGGAGAACATAGCCTTTCCAAGCTTGAGCTAAGCATAGTAAGTGCCATTTTCTGTCAGCATGTCAGAGCACCGCTCTAACATTTTTTTCCCATTTGCCATTTTTGTCTTTTTAGTTCCATTTAAAAATTGATGTAAAAATAAATGTGGTAAAGCAAGCAAAGGAGACATATTGAGAGGAGGGTGGGATTAGAGTAGGAATGTAAACTGGAGCAATAACTCTGACTTCCCTCTTTTTGCTGTGCCATTTGGAGTTTGCTAGGAAGGCACCAAAGCAATAGCTCTTTTATACCATTCTGAGTAAAAAGCCATGCTGTAAACCTGAGATCAGTTCTGCAATGGGCAAAGGAGGATATTTTTCCCATGACTTTATTTAATTGTTATGTGCATCTGTGAGCTCACTTAAACCCCATCTGCACACTACTTCACAAACACACTACCCAGCCTTTCCTGATGGGAATTAGGTACGTGTTGGACAACCCAACTTCTACATGAATTTCAGGCGAGTGTTGAGAAAGCTTTAAATTTCCATGTTAGTAAATGTCCTGCTTATCAGTAAGAGATCCTTTTGGAGGCTATTGGTATCTGCTTCTCAGAGAGAATAATTTTCTGATATTATTCTATGTCAATTTGCATTAAGAAGGGAGCCTTGATTGTTTTTGGTCTTTCTTGTTGTTACTGTTGCCTTCTGAGTAGTTGATATTTTGTCAGTAGAGAGAATCTGCACTATTTATGGGTTTTGCACTATAAAACTACTGCAGCCCAATCACATGGCTTCCTTTCCTAAGCCATCTGTCACAGAGGTCTGGAATTTTATGTGAATGTTGGTTGTGCAGACTTAACCCAAGTTTTTTTTATTATGAAAAATTGTCAGCAACTACAATATTTAGCATTTTACTTTACATTGGTCATTAAACTTGATTACTGTAGCTCTGTTTCATTGCTATAGTTACATATCAACGACGAAGCCAAAAAACACTGGGGCGATCATGGCAGAGTTCTATTGTCAGATCCTGGAGCGTGTGCTTGGCACTGATATAGTTAATATCTTGGATTTTTGTAACTAAGGTTTATTAATGCTGGTATAAAAATGTATTTGATATTATACAGATGGCATAAGATGTTGTGGTTACTAAGTTATTATCCAGGATAAGCTGCACTGTCAAATTCAGGGCTTAAAACTATCACAGGAGATTAAACTATTTACTAAAAAGGGGCAGAAAGATATAACAAAAGCGTCTTAGTATGAACATATTAGAAGTGTATTTACTTCCCATAAATATAATAAAACATCTCTCTCTTTAAGCTGTATGATTGAAAATGTGAACTTGGCTATGTGGGAGAAGCAAAGATAAGAGGTGCCTGAGTTTCTGAACCAGGGACAAACAGATGGCTTGGTGGTGCTTCAGTCTAGGTGGGCATCTGCATCAAGCTCATGGATGCAAAAGGGAGCCATGCAGGCTGAGTGAAGAGAGGTTGTAGGGCCTTAAATTGTCATCTACCACCAATATTTTCCTTCTGATTCATAAGATTTAATCAATCACATTTTACCTTTGAATTAGTCATCACTGGCAGTGGTGGAAGGCAAGGTTGCATTAAGTCAGCTTGCACCCTCAGTTCAGCCAGCATGGCCATGTCACACTTTCAGCACAGGGGAGCAGCTCCCTGTTTCACCACAACTCTCAAGCAAGGACAAGTTTCACTGTCCTATCTTTAGGATGGTAAACTAATCATCATGCTCCAGCAATATTTAATGTTCATAAAAAGAAAGGGGCTCCTCCTGCCAATGTCTTTCTGAGGAGGAGGTCTAAACTCACCCCTGGGCATATCTGACTCTTTTCTATTTACAACACAACATCTAGGTGGTTCACTTACACTATGAGTTTCCTATTATATTATTCAAGGTAGGAAATCTAGGTTTATAAAGCTGTCTCCTACAGCTACACAGTACAGAACACATCTGCCCCAAATTCCCAAGTGTTATCCAAGCTTTGTGGTGGCACAAATTAAAAATAGTAGTGATGACAATGAGCTACAGTATTCTATGTGTAAATCTCTGACATTGCTATTTATCTCCATAGTCTTTGAATGTTTTCCACCTTATTCAGGAAAACATTGAACTAGACTACTGAGTAGTCCTCCAGAAGCCACATTTCATCTTTTCCCCTACTTGCCATCAGTAAATGTTGGCAATAGCAAGGACTAGTCTTGTGTTCATCCTTGTATAGAAAATACGTTAATATGCGGTGTAGCATATTAAGCATGAGGGCAAATTTGTTGTTGCTTAGATCAGTAAATTGCACTTTTGAGCAGCTTTTTACCCTTGCAAGAAGAGCAGTTTGTCCTCTTTTCCTGTGATCAGACAGGATAAGGCAGAACAGTGACATTTCCTTCCTTTGTTCTTGTACAGCCAAGCAGCATCTGCACCTTTTTTTGAGCGGGAGAGCTCCTCCCAGACTGGAAATAGAGGTTGGGTCTGTCCTCAAGCTGCGCACACCTCTGCAATTAGAGGCTGCTCTTTGCTGTACTCCCCAGGAAGCAAAGTTTGCTAATTCAGGCAGAATACCTCCATTAGGGAGAACCTCCTCACAATCTTCCTTTATCTCTCAGTCTAGTGGTCTCAGTGCAGCCCTGTGCCTTAGTGGCCTAGTCAAATGATGATAAAGACAGTATGTCATTTCAAGTGATGTAGAAAATCCCAGTGAAAATTTCTCCTACTGTGCTACTTTTAGATGTATTTCTTTCCCCCTCCTTCTCCCCCACCATGATGCAGATGTTGTAATGTTTCCAGGGTGTGGGGGGAAGGGAGGATATGTAATAGTAATGCTGTTGATGACCTAAACAATGCATTAATGCTTTTAGCTGTGAATTGGGGTCATAGTTCTCTGTAAGAGTGAAAAGATCAAGAAGATTTAAAGCTAAACTTTTTTTAAATAAAACTAGATTTAGGGTGTATAGGTTATGGTTTAGTGGCATCTTATTTAAATTCTACTTACTATGTTTAAGCTGAGATGCAGAGATACCATTACTGAAGCTACTCTTAAGTCTGCCTAAGAGTTGGACATTAACTGCCATAAATCGAAAAGCTGGGTTTAGATTCAGATAAATTTAAATAAAAGCGTGCATTTATATTTATCCTTTAAAAGCACCACATGGTTATTTTACAGCCTTACCATGTCCATATCTAAACATGTCTCTATTTCCTGTTGCATGTCAGGGAGCTGAGATAGAAGTGGATGAAAATGGCACACTGGATTTGAGCATGAAAAAGAATCGAAGCCAAGACAAAGTTATGCCTCTCACTTCTTCCAGCGCAGCACTTCCCACTCCTTCCTCTTCTCCTTTCAAAGCAAGTAGCATCCTTGTAAATGCAGCCTTCTACCAGGCACTATGTGAACAGGAAGGCTGGGATGCACCAATCAATTACAGCAAGACCCATGGCAGGAAAGAAGAAGAAAAAGAGGTATTTTTTCAATTTCTGAGTGACTTTTTCCCTTGCATGAGAGACCATATGATACCAGATAACAATGATAACATCTAGAACAGTTTAAAGGGAATCAGTTTCCACAAGTAGAGGCTTGTGAACATTGATCTGCTTTTAATGGTCTCTTGGATGGGATATAAAAAAACCCTGTTACTCACCTTGGAAAATCTTGCATTCAGAGCCTGCTTCTTAGTGTCTGTAAGACTCTAAGGTAAGGGAAAAAAAGCTTACCATCATTAGAGTCTGCTTTTTAAATTTTGTTCCTAATGGTTCAGTCCTGTAACACAGATACCCAAATGGACTAGCAATCACCAGGGAAAAAAAGGAAAAACAAAACAAAAATAACCCCAACAAATAAAATGAAGCTAAGGCAGTTCTCTCATGCTGAAACAAAAGAAAAATTTTCCATACCAACTCTTTAGCCTTCTAGATAACTTGCTACCTAAGCATTTAAACTCATAGTTAAAACCTTGCCTTAACTTCTTTCACTGGAAAACTTTATTTTACATACTGCAAGAAATTTCTGCCACTGAGTCTTAGATCTCCAACTTGCAACTTATGTGATCGATCTTCTGGAGTGTCACTTCCAAATCAATAATTGTCTTTATTTTGGTTTTGTTTCTGTTTTTCATGTCTGTTTATCTTGTCTTGAAAACAAGGCAGCATAGTCTTCTATGGCCTTTCTTTCTTATTCTACTTTACTGGCAAGTTTGACTTAATATTTTTTTTCTCTTGAGCCTGACTTTCAGGATATGGACTGCTTTCATTTTTAATAAATCAGGAAGGGACCACCAACTCTTTAAAAGCCTATGTTACAGCTTTCAGAAACAAACTAAAAGATGTCCTGGTCTGAAGGTTTTATACTACTTACTCCTTGTTTGGTTTTATATATAATAGAATTTGATCGTTATAATAATATGAAATTATCTTTTGTTCAAATATCAAATCTGACACTTCAAGAAGACATAGATGGAGTAAAGCTATTTACAATTGAGGTTAGATGATCCAGGCATGCAATTCAAAAACCGCCTGGAATTAAAAGATAATTCAATTGCATGAGGAAAACAATCTACCACCACTGGGTAGAGGGTTGTAATGTGTCCACTGAAAAAGCTTGCAATTGGAGGTGGGCTGTCTTGAACACTTTGCAGTCTCCTCTTTGGGGATAATGATGGTCTTTATCTCACCGATGACAGAACAATCTGAGCCCCAGGGTTTTGGAGTGGGTTTGACCTGAAGCAGGAGGTTGAGGGCTCAGGCCCTTCCCCATTCATGCTGCATGATGAGCACACACATCCAGCTTTGAGAGGACTGCCCTGCTGCTGGGATCAAGAGGTGTCACAGACTTGGCAAGGGACCTGTCGTGTCACTCCTCCTCCCTGCTGCCATCACGGCTCAGCAAAAGAGCCAGGACAGGAGCACCTCCGCATCCCCCCTAATCCATGCCTGGCTTTCACAAGGCTAGGATGGATGTCTGGATGTTTCCCTGTTCCTTTTCCAGCGCAGGGAATTGGAGGAAAATAAACTACCCAACAGGACATAATGGTCCAGTGCACTCAGTTGCTGGTGCCCCTTGCACTTGGTGCTTTGACACTGCACATTTTGTCCCTAATTGAGGATCTGGCCCCAGATCTCTGATGTGAGATTTTGCTGTCCCAGGGAGCCTTGATACATCCAGTGATGACAGGGCCAGAGGCTCTGTTTTCAAAATCAAAGACTGGCAGTTATCCTTATGCAAAGAAAATTACTGATTATATCTATTTCTAATTCATTGTTATCTGGTTCATATGCACAACAGTTGTTTAATTTTTGTGGTAATTTCCAGAAAATATTGTCTCTCTCTCTCTCAGCAAAATAGCCTGTCCAGATGCCCCTTTAAAAAAAAAAAAATCTGAATTTGGAAAAAGCTCAAAATCTCTCCAAAAGGAAAGCGCTGAGAAATAACTAGAGCTGTCAGTTAGTTCAACTGTCAGTTCTCCAAAGATTTCAGGGCTTAAAAATGTTAAAAGTGCCAGATGCTATTATCTGTTATTCATGTTACCATTATGTTCTGGTCTTTGCTGAAATCAATATAAACTTCCATCTGTACATTAATGGAGTATCATTGCTTGCTTTCTTTCACTAGTGTGCATGCATGAATACACATGTGCTCTTTGCAGGAAATAGTAGTGCTTGGACCAATTGGGCTGGTTCCGATTTTTCTTTTAGTCTGAAATTCTTTAGATTTTAATAGCATTTAACTATAAATCCATTCAAATGGAAAATTATACATATTGAACAGCTATGACAATCATCAACTAACATACCAGAAAGAGAGAAGTGTTAAAGGTGTTTTCCCAAAGGATTAGCTCTCCCTCTAAAGATAAATAACTGGAGAAGCACACAAGATGTGATGCTCTGCTAAGTGCAGAGGATCATAAAGTATTTGTTCTTTATTTCTGACCTTCTGTGCTTTGGACAGATGCAACCCCTTTTGGGCCACATGTAGTGATATAAGGTTCTAGAAAAGCAGAGTTTCAGTATCCCTGTGCCTGCATTTCCTTTGCACTGTCCTGATTTTGCAGCTTCTACACATATGAAGATTTTATGTTGCTTGGATAACAGCGGGTGTCCCTCAAGAAACTAAGAAAATGACTAAAGGTGACTAAAGAAGTCACCTATTTAAATGTCTATATATCTCCCTTACTCCTGGGAAATATTCTAGGAAAAAAAAAAAAAAAACCTGTATAAAATTGTTGTTGTTTCTGTATGTATGTGTGTGTATAGCTTTAGTTTAAAGAAATTAGAAATCATATTAGCTCAATTCAGGGAATTCACCATTAAGATTTGAAAAAAAAAAAACTAATTATTTAAAGATATAAAATGAAAATATTGCAATTCTAAACCCTCTAATATCATTTATACTGGTGGCTATAGGTGTACTCCTGTCAGTCTTCACCATGAAATCTTGTTTTTATTAAATTACTCAGTGAAATGAAGCTGTGAACTTTAATACTGTAGTGTTTTGTCCAGCCTTGGATATATATAATTCTCCATCAGTCTGCTCTATGCAGCAGGTATCAGACAGTGACATGATGAATAACTCTCTCTCTCTCTCTCTCTCTCTCTCTCTCTCTCTCTCTCTCTCTCTCACACACACACACACACACACACACACACACACACACACACACACAAAGTTTCTGGTCTATCACCAGTGAAAGATCGGATATCTTTGATTTAAAATAAATAACACAAGTTGCACAAATGAAAATATTAACATAGCCTGCAGCACAAATAGGTATGGCAATTCTGGTGTGCTGCAAGTGCACCCTGAGGTACATGACCCAGATCAGGATCACAGTGGAGTGCTAGAAGGTCCTTTTCACCACCCCACACTCCAGGCTACTCTCAGAAGAAGTGGAAGAGGCTGATGTATGCCTGGTTTAGATACATAGGATCCAGGCAAGGCATGCTTTAAATTTTTAGGAACATACATCAGTTCAGTGATGCAGATGTAGCCTGACAGAGTTAGTTGTTAGACAGGAAACTGATAAACCACCCTTCTTTAACCTCAATTAAATTAAATGGAAACCATTTTACCTGTGTTTTTTTGGAGTTATTTTGACATCTGATCGCTTCTAACTGGCAATAGGGGTTAGCATTTTTGTAGTTTCCTCGGGGAGCTTTTGATTTTATTGTAACTTGTACCAGTGATCCCTGCTTGCACTTATGTTGTTTGTAAGAAAGGTAGATCAGAACTTTTGGACAGAACTAGTCAGGAAATCAGATACCCATTGCAAAATCACCCCTATATGCCACTGCAAAATTACCCCTATATGCCCCTGGGAACAAGTTTTAACCCAGTATTTTTTAAAATACTTTTTAAAACATATATTTGATGTTTCTTGGATCTTGAACAAAGCTGACATCCCTTTTTCCTATTTTGCATTTTAGTGTTTTAGCATCCATGTTTGGAAGACTTTCAATCATTTATTATTTCTGCACTAACATCAAGACTTTTGGTAGTTGCTAATTTTCTTTGTTGCTCCTTATCTGGAAGTCTCCTTTAGAAATATAATTCCCCAAGCCTGAAATATATGAGGGTTTTTCTATTTATTTGAAATAATTACTCATTAATTACTGTGAAAACATATTTAGTAAACCTGAATGTATGTATTTTTGCTTTCTATATTTGTATCAGATTAGATTATTCTCAAACAAATTAACTCCACAAATGTGATTGAAAAAATCAGTAGTAATTGATACAGCAATAATATGGCATCATTTCTATATGTATGTGAAGTGTGAGTTAGAGTAGGCAGTAGATAGCCAGCAGCAGAACGCAGAAGAAAATCATGTTGAGGATCCAGCCTCCAAACAGGCAAAGATGAGCTGCCAGAATTGAGGACCATATGGAAGCTTTATCAGAAGAAATACCCCTGTAGAGCTTACAAGACCCAGGAGGCAGAAACTCCATTTTCAGTCCAGATTCGAGTCAGCCCTGTGTTAACAGCTCTGCAGACAAGCCTGCTCCTCTGTCCTGGCACATTTGTCAGCTGCACAAGCCCAGAGCATCCATGGCACCAGCACTGTGAGTTTAGCAGAGGCTGGGACCTTCCCCTCTCAACCACGGGCAGCAGTTTCTGCTTCTACAGATGGTAATCTCTGGGAAACACCTGAGTGTTGGAATGGAATCACAAAACCAACATGCAGTCCAAGAAGGGATTAATAGAGGTCTGATAATTGATTCTATAAACTTTGGAGATTTCTCGAATGATGAAATAGCTACGGAACATCCCTCCAAAAAGAAAATATTTATCTTTCATAAAGATAATACTAATTGTAGGCATTAAGTCTCAAAACAGTAAAAACCAAGTTATTTTGAAGTTATCAAAGAAGATTTTTTAGAAAACAAAAATGCAATTTCCTTCCAGGACTCCAAGTTTCCAAAATGCCTTCCCAATGGAGTGAAGGCTCATGATTCATTCCATCTACCAAACAGCACGGTAGCAGTGATGATTTAGATTTACAAATAGTAGAAATCAAGAACTATCCTTAGGAGCCTGCTATTAAGAAAGCTTCAAAGCTGTTTTGTTCTTTATGGTTTTTATTTTAACAAGAATCTGCTCTTTCAGTAAGATAACAGGACATTCCATTCCACAGACCTAAAAAGCTTCGGATTACCATTTGCTTATGTAAATAGCACATTTTAAATTTATGATTGCAATTTTGTAATTTATGGTGCAAGGGTCACCACTTCAACTGTATTCAAAAGTCAGCAATGTACTTACACAGCAAATAAAAAGAACATAACTGCCAAAGTCTAGTTTGGCTCTAGCAATAACCACTTCTCTTTTCTCTGTGTACTTTTCTTTGGCCTTTATCACCATCTTATAAAAACAAACACAAGTGTCGCCTATATATGGCTTAAATTAGCATCTACTTTCAGAAATATTTACACAACATTCTTAAAAGTCTGCCTGTAAGAACCTGAAACTATGCTATACTAAACTTTCCTAATTTCTCTCCATCATTTCTTTTTAATATTTTTCTTTTTTTTTTTTTTTTTAAGTTTATAAGAGGTTCTCTTCTTGCCATGGTAAATTGTTTCTTGAATGTGTGGGAGGACTTGAAGAGCAACCTTTTGTTACATTCTCATCTAATATTTCAGAAAGATCCAGTGAGCTCTCCAGAAAACATGGAGGAAAAGAAGTACCCAGGAGATGTCTCCATACCCAGTCCTAAAACTAAGCTCCATTCAAGAGATCTCAAAAAGGAACTCATCACGTGAGTCACAAAAAATGCTACATTTTCCTTTGCCCTGGTAAGGACTGGCTATGCTGCTGTTCTGATGTCTGTTTTGAAGTAGATTTGCAGGAGCTGAGCAGGGAAACTTGCACAATTCCCTGCCAGTAGTTAGTTCCACATCGTGGCTATGCAGACATGAGATTTGGAGCTGTGACAAGCCAGAGTGTGCCTGGAGGTCTGGATAGATTAATGACTAAATTTGTACTAGGTGCCACTCCTTATTCCTCAGATAGATAGGTAACAAGTGGGAAACAGCTCCTTCTACAAAACACACAGTTTCATAACATGCTACATATCGCCTCTGCTAATGCTTGTATAATTAAATAAGCTTTAATTGAACAATTGTCATTATAGATCCATTGCTTAGAACTTGTGTAGAAGCAGTTAGGATTTCTCAGACAGAAAACATGCAGAGTTCATAAAAAGACAAAATACAAGACAAAACGGGATTTTCCAACCTGTAGGAAACAGGTTTAAGTCCTTCATCTGCTTCCTTCCAAGCAGAATTATTCAGTCCCACTCAAAATCCAGTGGCTGTAGAAATTCATGCCCTGGACTATAGGCTAATACTCTCTTTCCCAGTTACTGAGATGCACTTGCTCTGTGTTAAGTTACAAAAATTTACTATCTAGAACTGCAAACAAATTCTATTAAATCAGTCTGCATTCAACAGCTTGTTTCAGTTTAGAATTTTTTACTAAAATTGTCCCAAGCAGCTCATAACACAAGTCACTTTTAAAAAATGTTATCTAGGCTCTTCACAAAATCACATTTTGTAATTTTGAGTTCACATCAATATAATTTTGAAATTAACATGGAGTTTTCACTATAATAGTCAGTCAGGACTCAGCAATCATTTATGGCACATTTCTTTTTGTCCCAAAGCAGAGCAGGTCTCTCTGCATAAGTGTGGTCCGTATCACTTAGTGATGATAGCCCATAACTGCAGGCTCACCCATGAATAAACAAGTCACGTCACGCCAACTTGTGTCCTGCTCTCCAGACTCGGTGGCACTGAAGCTGTTAGAGCTGCCTCTGTCTCTAGAATTTACATTTCCCTGGGGCAAGCTGCTGTGAAGAGCGATTCTTTCCCCTCATGTCATGCAGTCTGCATGTTGTCTACTCACCACATTATATCTGCAGTCATAGTTCATGACCTAAATTGCTGCAGGTCAGGTTGTCTTGCCTCTTCTTCTAAAACAAATGCATACAAAAATCACTGAGAGTTTATCTGCTGAAGGCTAATGGCTTTTCTTTTGTAGTGTTTATTCCTTTGTGATACTGACCTGTTTTAAGATACCTGTAATATACTTTTCTACTCTCCTAAATAAAGTATTTACTAGAGCAATGATGAGCTTACAGTGGTTCAAAAAGTATCTAAAAACATCTATCTAAAATGTAATTGTGCCAAAAAATTAAATAAAAATTCGGTTTAATTTATCAGAATAATCTATAGGCAATATAGAGATCAAACTACATTCCTGTGATCCCACTGAGCTCAGATATTTTACTGAAAAATTCAGTACAGTTGGCTCCATCATGAGGAAGCTTTTAAAATGACATAAGCATTTGCAGAGAAAAATTTTGAACGTGGTAAGCACAGTTGGAGCAAACTACTGAATGAATCCCACCATCTAGCACGTGCTTTCTATTTCTCCATGTAAATTCTATTGGCCATTACGGTATCACTCAGGTTCAAATGGGCTATGAAAATGAGGCTGATTTATTCCTAAGGCTTTTTTACAGATTTGAAAATCTTCCTAGCATTCTGCCAGCTCAGAGAAAATAGCCAGGTGAGCATCTCAGGCACCCCTTTCTCATTAGCATGGAGGACTAGCTAGCAGTTTTTGTGTAGCATCTGCTTGCCCTTTTAATCCATATTTCCAGTGAAAGAAAAACAGTTCTCTATAAGGTAACTCTCCAGAGTTGATGTTAGAGTGTTTTAAATATTATATTTAATTCACCTCCCCCTCCATGCACAAGTTGCATTTCTTGGTATCTTTCCTCTTCTGCAGAGGACTGTATCCCAGCTTGATTTCAGTGTTACAACTGAAGAAGGGCTGAGGAAAAAGAGAAGCTATAACATCTTCTCCAGCATCCCTCCATCTCTTGGTTTAAATGAGCATATCTGTTTAGTTAAATGTACACCGTTGCCTTGGTTCCAGCCAGGACAGGGTTAAATTTTGCAGTAGCCAAGAGGTGAGGTGGCTGAGGGTTACTCTATAACCTCACCCAGGGGGAAGGCTGTCCTCCCAGTCAAGTAAGCTTGGCAAAGGCAGTGCTTGGGTAACACCAGTTCTGTTCTGAGCAATCATTTGCCTATCTCGTGCACTTTCTCATGGATACTTTTGCTGTTACCATTCATTTTGAATGAATTTTCATTCATTCATTTTGTTATCTCATTGCTGTTTCCAGTGATTTGCTCTTATCTTGAGATGTGGCTTTCACATTTTGTGCCTCCAATTCTACTCTCCAACCTGCCACATGGGGAGGAGGAAGGGGGGTAGAGTAGCAGCCTATGGTTTAGAGAGTCTTGGTGGGAACACTAATTTGGAGAGTACCATTCCTAAACCACAACAACCACCTTTGTATCACTTCTCAGTTCTGCTGAGAAACAGCTTGAGAAAGTTTTGTTCTCTTTCAGAGCTTCAGATGTGTGATATTGACGTGCTTTCTCTTCTGCAAGCAATCCTAACACATTTCTCACTTGTGTCAGTAAATAAATATTGGATATGTTTCTAAAGAAGGTGCCTTATTTTAGTCAGAAGTGAAAGGAATTATTTTGAATATATATTCAATATGTTATACTGGAGGTCAGATCAGAAACTTCAGCTCCAACATTTATGAATTGTTGTAAAAATTTTGCGCCAATAATAAAACAGTCTTTTTAAGAACCCACTTTATAAGCAAAATACCTATTCAAAGGTAACTCTACACAGATAAAATAAGGGTTTTAATTATTTGCATTGTAGAAATAGGAAAAATTATTTCCCTCTGTGTGTCAAGTAATAATTAAAAAACAGAAGTGAAGTTTTTCTAGATGACTGCAGTGTCGTGACAGTGTGTAATGATGAACGTGATTGCCCTAAGGATCATTACATAATTCACTGCAGAGTATGGTGAGCTATGTAGTGTATTAGATATCCTCTAATTTCTCATTCCTTCTTCTCTGCATAGCTGTCCAACCCCAGGATGTGATGGTAGTGGTCATGTAACAGGAAACTATGCCTCACACCGCAGGTAAGAAACAACAGGAAGCCTAAAACAGGAAACAGTGCTACTTCTAACTCTTGTGATCTTTAAACTTTTTGCACTAACCATGGATAAGTATTCAAAAACAATTTGCAGAAAACAATCTGCACATAAATGTGGTAGTTTTTCCTGATTTTGTTATATTTGTGAAGGTGTGGACTTAAACACTGGGGCAGTTAAGCAGCATATGCTTATTACTGTAGCTGCATTTCTCAGCTGAGACCTGCAGATAAGTAATTTAGTGAAGTTTGCATTTCCCTGAGTGTACAAACAGTCTCTATAAAGATGCTGTTGCATCTGAATATAAATGAGGTTTCTGCATATCTGTCTATGAATGGCTTTGAAATTCATAATCTACTATTATAACCTGAGGATATTAAATATTTTCCTCAAAATAGCCAGCTGTCAACCTAGGTATTGAAACAACAATTTCCTGCTTTTCCCTTAGGAGCAGAATGGAAGTGTTTTCTGCCTTCTACTAACCATGTGGACCAGATCCCCTAACTGTCCTTCATATAGGAAACATAAATGATAGATTCTGTGTACAACTGTCCTTCATAGCAAAGCTTTACAGGGGCTAGAAACCTTTGTTCTGAATTTCATACTTTTTTTTGTGATTTAAGAACCACAGCCTTATGCCGGTCCTTCTTTGCTGAGAATAAATATCTGAGACTATAATTTTAACTAATATAAATCATATATTGTCTGGATGTTGGTGTTTTAAACAAAAATAAATGCTTTGATTTAGTAAAATATTTCACATCAGGTTTTCTTTTCAGTGTTTCTGGGTGCCCACTAGCTGACAAGACATTAAAATCCCTTATGGCTGCTAACTCTCAGGAGCTCAAGTAAGTATTGACAATAGCACAAATGTTATTGTTCTTTATCTTTGACAGACACGTTCCTTGTGTTATTGAAGTTGTAAATTTGAATTGCTCTGAGTGTTATCAAATCTTTTTCTGAAAAGTGTAGTGAATTTGTTTGAAAGCTTTTGAGTGAAATAAAGTTTGCTTTTCTCCATTTGTCTTTCTTTATTCTTGCACCCCTTCATTTTCATCAATTAATCAGGGCCTGGGGGACAAAAATTGTGAACACTAGAGAAGATGCAGATTTTTCAGTAGTTTTGAATCAGAGAGGAATAGAAAATATCTAATATGTAATCTGGCAACTGATCCAGATAGAATCAATTGGAATTATTTAGCTAGAAGTAAATCTAGTTAGAATAAATCTAAAAATGACACCAGGATACCTGCAAATATTTTTTTATTTGTCACTACCCTATATTATGAGTTTAATGTGACTAAAGTAGGCATCAAGTCATATGGTTTTGTGCTGGCATAATTCTCACCATGAAATGTCACTTACAAAAGGACTGTGCAGGCTTTGCTATATAGACAGATGTATAGGGACATATGAATATTTCAAAAATCTGTAGTCAAGAGAGGCACTGGCAACCAGTCATCTAGTTATTGAATTGGCTTTGTCAATAAGGATGTGGGGAAAAGAGAAGGATAATTAGAGTTCTTTCATAGCTTTCCCTCTGCAACTTGTAAATTGGATCCCATAATAGATGACTTGGAAAAATTCATGAATGCACGTAAAAAGGGGAGAACCCCGTGACTGTCCTTTCTGTCCTTTAGGTTCATCCCTAGTCCAGATAGAAGAAAATAAAGTCTGATCATGGCACTATTTTCCTTTTCTAATGGTATTAGTGGCAGAAGGGAATACATTTAGGCTTGGAGCAGTGTTTGGCTTTCCCAGATCAAATGTTAGTGGTCTTATTCCCTAGCCTTACAACTTCAGTTATAATTGAAATGCTGAACTGATGGTAGTTATGAAGCTGAATGTACAGGAGATGCAGTAAAATAGCAAAGAAAGACTGTTTATATAGGCAGCTGTCCAAAGCAGTTCACAAAGCCAGTAGGTAAATTGGCACACTGGCACAATGCTGCATTTTTTGACATTTCTGATCCTCAAAGGTATAAAATTTAGGTTTCGTTTGTTTTAAAAGAGCAGAATGGTTAGCAAGGAGCCGGCTTGCAAAAATGCTGACAAATTTGAAGTCATTTGCTGAGTCATATATATTTGTCCCTGCTTTTATTGGCTTTCTGCCATACAAAGACACTCACACAAATATTTTGAATAGTTGCTCCTCATGCATCACCCCCCCGCCCCATTCATGTGTGAATAAGTAAATTTGCATACCAATATGGTTATTTTTCTACTAAAGCTTCTAGAGTTTTGGTCATGCCATAAGGAAAGAGGAGCAACAGCATATGACTTAAATGACAAACTGCACACTGTACGCCATGTATAATAAGTGAGTTGTGAAAGACAAAGTCAAAGTTCATGGACATTTCACAGACAGAAATATGTTGCATAACGCAGTTAGCATTTAATTTCAATTAACTAGAAAAAGAGCAAAAATCAAAATCTGTTCACAGACAATTTGCAAAAGGAAAAAAAGGCTAAATAAAATTATTTTCCATAAATGTACCACCTTAATTTTGGTTTTTGCAAACATAGTTCAGGTGGTATTTTGAACAAAACTTTGCTTCTGTCTAAATTAAATCTTTTTCCACAATGCTGCAATCATGCTTGTACTGGTATAGTGATATCAATAGTTAATTGTAGCATTGCTATGTGAGCAGAGGGCATAAATGCTCATAGAATCAGGCCAGGAAAGTACCCTCATGTAGTTAGGCATGAATATGAAAAAGCTGTGTATTTTTTCCAAATGTTATTCATGTTTAATTTGCCAGAATCAAGATAAGATTTTGGCTTTAATTATGAAACTCTATGCCAGCAAAGATACAAAGCTTCCATGTGATCCACAGTTTGGAAATAACGAAGATCTGCTCAGAAAGTGTGCCTGTGATTCAGATTCAAGAAAATATCTATGTGAGGATTCTTGCTGTTCAGAACAATCTGAGGTGGTCAATTTAAAACTTGATAAGTTTGGTGATGACACAGATTTTAAAGCTAAAAGGGATAATTGTGGCTGATATTCTATTTAATCAAAGAGCTTGCTTATCAAGCCTTAAAAATTTTAAATGTGTACTTTTGAGAGGTATTTACGTACAATTCAGAAACTTTTAGGAATAGGTGGTCAGTCCTACCTACCCTTAGACTCGTTTTCACAAAGGTTAAATGTCAATTTTTTAGGAGAGATTTGAGTAGTTTTTCTACGTGGGTTCAACATAAAACATTGCTACTGATTTATACTGAATTATACTGCCTTCCATAGGCAGTATAACAATTTCAGAAAATGGTTTTCTCAGCTGACCTCTATGAGTTTGCCTTGACTACAGTTCATATGCAACACTTCTGGTGAGCTTGTGACGGAGAAAATGTACCAGAAGTGCTCCTAAACATGCAGCTCAGTGTTTCAATTTTACATGTAGTTGTAGTTCATCTTCCTAGAGAAAAAGCAATCCTCTTGTTGGAGAAAGGGACAAAATAGGAGGTAGTCAATGCCATTTGCAAGAATTGATATGTAAAATCATTGATTTATTTTTTAATAACAAATTTGGAAGAATTGTAGAAGAACTTGTAACCTACACCCACCTGAGGGTTGACATCTCTTAATTTGATGTCCTGAGACCTCTGGTCTTTCAATGTAATTCCTATTTTCCTGGCTCTGCACAGGAATTCATTATAGAGGATGACTCCCTAAGCTGGGGTACCAGTCCAAATACCACTTAAAAGCTGATGAACTTTCACAGCATTACTGATGGAAAGGCACTGGGTTTTTGATGTATTTTGTGTTCTGGAATTCCATAGTCCATACAAAGATATAACCAATATTTAGAAAACCCAGCCCAATGGTCAAAATTAGGAGTCTTGCTAATGAAGCTTTTTACTTTTTTGCCAGTAGCCCACCTGAAATATCTTTTTACAGTTTCATTAGTCCTGATAATATCTCAGCCTCAAATCTTCAGTGACCTCCACAATAGGTTGGACTCAAATCCGGTTGGAAACTTGTCTGCTGCCAGAAGTGGTAACTACCGAGGAGGTGACAAAAAATTCAGTTCAGCATCCTTTTTAAGTATATTCACCACTCCCAGACTTTCAGATCTGAATGTCTCGCACAAAGAGCTTTTCTTGAATTAAAGTCCACCTCTATTCTATGCAGGAAGGCCTTCCATCTGTGATCATCTGATAAAACAAGTAGCCAAAATTAATTTTCTCAGTTTTCGGCAGGTGTTCTGTATTTACTTGTGAGTATTCATACTCTCCAGACATCTGCCCTTGCTGCCTGCTCCACATGACATTGTGCCCAGTCCTTGTCCCACACTTAAACAGGTCAACATTTAGTTGTACACGGTAAAGCATGTCCTGGCACTCTGCAAATCCCCACCTTTACCTTTGCTGTCAGTGTGAGGCAAGTCATTCTGCCAAAAATATTTTGTTCAGTAAGTGTTGTCATGAAATGTTTTGATATCATCTTTGAAAAAAAAGGCACCCCTTTCTTCATTTGAAATCATTTGCTGAATTCTACTTCAATCAATGCATAAATTTGCTTATGTCCAAAATAAGTCAGATTTTTTGACAAATTAATTGTTCACAGAAAACTAGTTTTAAATATTCTGTGAAGAGATGCACCTGCACACTCAGATGTGCTATTACAATTATATTTGTAGGTGTTTTCCATGGCAGCCTACCAATGATTAGACGAAATCACGAATCTCTTTTACTCAGGAAAGATTCAGTAACTGAGACCCTTAAGAGCATATTGAACCCTGCAAGTTTCCTTAACGCTTCAGCACAACATTATTTGGCACAACTCCTTATGTAATTCTGATACTCTGTTAAAAATAATAGCATGTCAAAATCCCTTAGGGTTGCTTAGTATAAAAACTTTGTGTTGTATAATACAGAAACATAGAAAAGGCTGGCATAGCTTCTAAGGTAAATGTTTTTGGTGCTGCTTTGTTTGCTGAGGTATGCTAATATTCTCTAAAAAATCCTCAAACCACACCACTCCACAAATACACAACAGCCTTAATTAAAAAAAAAATCTAATTTCTGTACTTCTGAGATGTCACAAGTGAGGTCCTGCTTCAAACCCCACAGAAGTGAGTGGAAGGACCCAAGCTGGCTTTTGGGACATAGCAAGCAAGAAGCCCATCCTGCCAGACTGCTGGCAAAAGCACAGTAACCATCAGATTTTTTTTCTTTTTATTGTATGGATGTTTCAGTATTAAACATTCATACTTGAAAAGACTTGTTTGTCACACATACACAGAGAAACCCCTTAACTATGAGAAATAGGCATAATCCGATTGCTCAGCTGAACACCCACCTGAATCTCAAGCGAGAAAGAGATGGTCCTGTGGTATGCTTACAATGCTAGAATACACAAATTATTAAATTCAAATTCTGGCTACCATCTACTCATGCCCAAAAGTAAAACTGCTTCTCTGTTTTAATTTCCCTTTCTGTAAATACTGGCAAAGTGCTTATTTATATCTCTACCTGAAAGCATCATACCAATAACAAACAAACATATAATAGCAAATTTGCAGATAGATCTATATCAACTGCTTTTTCCTTCTCTTTGTAATGTTGATTCTGTACAAGTAAAAATATTAGATGCAAATATTGATATAAACTAATTAAATCAACACATCATATACAATATATTTCACATTCCTTATTAAAATTCTGCTATTTAAAAAATAAAATGCCTCCCCAATAAAAGGGAGTCTGCTTATTTAAGAAAATTTGAATAAAGCAGCAAGAGATATGTTGAGTTATTCAACAAAAAGCTCTGCTGTTCTTTCTTCCACTCTAGACAAAATACAGATTGTACACATTATTTACTCTGTATCTTTGTGACTGTATTTTGTAAGCTTCCTGTATTATTCCATAGGTGCCCAACACCTGGCTGTGATGGCTCTGGCCACGTGACAGGGAACTATGCATCCCACAGAAGGTAACAACTATCCCATCACATGGGGCTGCAGTGCTCAGGGCTCTCGGCTGGCAGCAGCAGAAAGAGGTGGCTCTTATTCTGTGTGCTTCTTTCAGCTTGTCTGGCTGTCCTCGTGCCAGGAAAGGAGGTATCAAAGTCACTCCTACCAAGGAAGAAAAAGAAGACCCTGAACTTAAGTGAGTACAGAAGCAGGGGTCCACCGCCAGTGGAGGGGGGAAATGGCCTGTGAGAGTTCAGGATTGAGGAATCATAGGGAGATGCCCCAGTTAATCTCAACCACGCGAGAATAGTGCCCAGAGCTGGAACCAAACCAAGTGTTTCTGCTTCTTGTGGAGTTTGTGGAGTCCATCACCTAGGAGACTGAACACTGAGGAAGGATTGTTGTATCTGCTTGTATTGCTCCAATTATTTTAAAGAGTGCTATGCAAGTGCCAATTGGTTGACAAATTTGCAAAATGAAGGAAAATTACTGACTGAGGTGAAACTTGTTAGCTAATTAAATCAGAGTGACACTTTAAAAATATGTTCTAGAAAACTTAAATATCTATAAGTCTCATGTCTTTTCTATATCTATGAATGAAAATTTCACTTAAAGTGAAAACTGGAATCTCAGTAGAGATTCACTACAGTCCTGGCTTGAATGCACATTCCATTAAAATTTGTAAATGGTAACTTCCAGAATATAAAAGTGAATAGTTGTATGGAATGTTGTATTAATATTTGCTAATGATATATGCAAGACTGCATAACACTGACAGAGCAGAACAAAAAGCTCCCTTCCCTTCCTTTGCAAGACTCTGCATGGATTTCCATGCAAGTTTTCCAGTTACAGGAACACACCCTCTGCTTCATACCAGAAACCGAGATAGAAACGAGACAATGTTGACTTTCGATACATTTGAAGAAGTTTGATTTATTGCCTGTGATAGAATTTGAAATTTTTTTTTCCAGTGAAACATTATCTAAATGGATGTCTTTTCTTAGTCTCTACAATTTTATTTTAAATTGCCTTATTTTAAGATCAGCTGAACCCCCATAATGTAGCTTGACAAGAGTTGGATGCCCTGGTACAGTGTGCCACCAGGGACCAAGTCTTACTCCATTAAAGCAAGGTAGCAAAGGCAGCCAGAATGATTTTCTCAGGATTTTTTAAGACTGTCTTTGCCTGCTCTCTCCAGTGAAAATGAGGCTTCTTTTGCTGTATTTCTGTAGATGTCCAGTGATAGGCTGTGATGGCCAAGGTCACATATCAGGTAAATACACTTCTCATCGCACTGCTTCTGGTTGTCCTTTGGCTGCCAAGAGACAGAAGGAGAGTCCTGTCAATGGGTCTTCGCTATCCTGGAAACTGAACAAACAAGAGCTGCCACACTGTCCTTTGCCAGGCTGCAACGGGCTGGGTCATGTTAATAATGTTTTTGTCACCCACAGAAGGTATAACTTTGTGTTTTCTCTTTTCATTTTTCCTTAACATTCCACTCTGAATTGGCAACATGTGGGTTTAGAGTCAGATTAAATTATGCTAAAGTATTTTGAGTAATAACATTGCAGCTAAAGTAATATAAAATATTACTTTGAGAGACTCAAACTTTTATGTCTCTTTCTATGTTCCCATTGAAGCATGACTTTCTAAGGTGTTCAGATTGGCACAGTGCCTATGCCTTTTAAAATTAAGTAGAGTCCTTTCCTAGGGAAATATGGAGTTGTATCTGCATATCTTCCAAAGAAAAGAGAAATATCATTGAAATGCCACCAAAAAAGTTTTAGCCAAGAGCCATTAATTTAGTCTTTCTACCAGTGAAAATGTTATACTCATAAACTTTGTATTTGAACAGCAAAAGTTACACGAAGGAAAAACAATAAACATGCAGCACTCCTATGGATTAAAGAAGTTTGAAGTTATAACAATCTTGCAAAGAAAAGTGTCACTGCAGAGAAGGAGTTACACATATAACTAACAACAATAAACACCATCTATCACTGTGAAAAATAATAATCTGACTATATTGATTCAAAAATAATCAAATACTCTGACTGGCAAGTCTGGTTTTCTGTCTTTAATAGAAATTAAGTCTACATTTTCTATCTCCTTTGCTTTCTTCCTAACACTTTGAGCCAACTTCTCTGAGACAAGAAATAACCAAGGTCATTTGAACAAATTCAGTCCTAATTTTATTTCCTACATCCCATCTAAATTCTTTTCTTTAGGACACTAATGTAAATTGTGGCTAATTAAGCAAGTAGCAAAACTATATTTTAGCTGGTAACAATTTATAGTTCAGATGATTCCTCTCCTACATAAGACTGGATCACTCTCAAGATCATGTTAGTTAAAATTACATAGCAGATATAACTTCATTTGACATTCTTTCCTAGGACATTTGAAACCTAACAAGTTGCTTTCAAACAATCTCGCACTTAGCTATCTGCCCTGGGCAGAGATAATAGGCAGAAATTTAGAACTGAAGAACTAGCATCTTTCCCTGTATAGCTTTTAGCCAAGCTAATGAAAGCTTAGGTTTTGCTGGTTTTGTTGTTTTTTTTTTTTTTCTCTAAGTGGAAATGCCATGTCTTTTAGGATTCTCTTTTAAAAAAATTTTTACACACGCACTCACACACAGACACACATCCACACACATCAACCATTTTCATGTGGAACAAAATTTTCCTTCTCTCCTTACTCAGCTACACCTAAAACCAAATCCTTCTGACAACTCTTCAGCATATCCGTATTTCTTCTTTTTTATTTATAAAGATAGTGTTAAGACAGTGCAATTCCTCTTAGCCCTTTAGCGGGCTATAAAAATTGCCTCAGATAATTACCAGCTGATGAAATTGTAAGCTTTGAAATAGCAAAATGTAATTTAATGTGAACAGTGGTTAAAAAGCAAACTGGCTATATAATAGAACCATTCAAAAAAGCTATTACAGCCTATAGGGTATATCCAGAGTTATTATTGTATTGATCATTATTATGTATCAAGAAAGTGATACAATAATTGCACACTATGGACATCATCCTATTAACTAATTTTTTTTTAGGATAGTAAACTTGACATTTTAAATACCATACTCTCCTCTCCTTTGGAGCACAATCCCTTGATAAAAACAGTTTATAAGTGTTTGAATTTAAAGAATTCTGTAAATTCATCTTCATATAGCTTAACAGTAGTTGCTACTGCAATTTTGATTATTTTGAAATATGCTTAAGAGTTGTTTACTCATAGATTGAGATTTCTGTGCCAATTTTCAAGCAGGAATATACAGCTAAATGACTCTTTATGAGTTATGTCATTCCCCAAAGCCATGCTATAATGGAGATACTGATGTGACCTTAGGTACAGAGGTCTGTCCAAGTGCATAATAATATTGCCTGAAAGGATTGTTGCCATTTTCAAGTGGGTGCTAATGTTTTTTTTCCTATCTGTTTCAGCCTGTCTGGTTGTCCTCTGAATGCACAAACCATAAAAAAGGGCAAAATTTCAGAAGAATTAATGACTATCAAGCTTAAAGCAAGTGGCGGTAAGGAGATCTGTAAAAAATGATGGCATTTATTTAGATAGAAGGGCCCTGACTCCCATTTATTCTTGTGCCCCTTTATGCCATTCTGGCATCAATTCTCACTACTTTGTCTCTAGCAATAAAAAATCTCAACTAACAAAACTATTTGCATGAGAGATTATAAAATTATTGTCATTTACATCTTGATAACTGAACATTGAGGATATGCTCTTGTTCAAGAGCATTATTTTTTATATATAGATATTATTTCAATATTGTTTTTATTAATAAACAATTAGTTACAGATCAAGAGGACTTAGCTATCTGATGAATAAGGTAAGCAGGGAGAAATACTGTGGGCACAAATTGACTCATCTCTTTAACTTCATTCCTACATGGTTTAGCATCTATTCAGTGTGTGTGCAATTTAGCTAACCTAAGTGCAAAGCAATAATTACCAAAGAGTTGCAGGGAGAAATGTGTAGGAGTCTCCCTTCTTATATAACGTGCTTTAGCAAGCTGGGCATTGAGCCAGGAATCAGGAAATTAAGTTTTTAGCCTCCAACTGCTGAGGAAAACAGTTGCATTAGTACTTACAGATTTCTCATGCTAGCTCCCCAGTAGACTCAGTTCTAGGCTTTAAAGCAGCAACAACAGCAGCACAAATCTCCAGGCAGAGTTGGGTTCAGAGTGATACTCAGCAGAAACAGGCACATGTATTTCCCAGCAGCTGCTACAGTTCAGTGTTTTTCAGGACAAGGCTTTCATTAAAGAACTGAAGTTTTTTTTTCTTTTTTTTTTTTTTCCTCCCCTGTAATAATTGTTTGCTTTCTAAAAATTTCACCCTTTCCTGTTATTTAAACTTCCCTTTATCAGATATATCTCAGGCTGTGCTTATTGAAGTTATTCTGCACAGGAACTTGTCCTCATAGAGATCTTGCAAGATCAGAAACAGGTACAGATGAGTGAACAATTATAATGCTAGTGAAGATGTTGCCCTGGTGTGTTTCCTAAAAAAAGAAATGTTGCTGTTGTATTATTTTTAAAACAAAACAACCAAAAACCCCACACCCAAGCACTGTAAAAATCTCCTCATGTTTTATGATAAACTTTTCTCTTTATGGAAATTTTCTCCTTTCTGTACCCTCCAGCTTGTAGTTGCCCAATGCAATGAACAAAAAATAAATTTTTAAAAAATTAGGACTAAGATAGCCAATCTATGTTTCAGCTCATACAGATGTTTAATAGGTAGGAAAGAATTTTGACAGTAAAATCAAAGTAAAAGGCAAGTTAAGGATCAATCATCTGTTAAAAATCTTATTTTCCTATGGTTAAGTAATAGGTAAATAAGCTTGTTACTCATACATCCATTTACATGTGGACATTTTAAATTTAATATTGTTATTTTCAACTATTTACAGGTATTGAGAGTGATGAAGAAATAAGACACTTGGATGAGGAAATAAAAGAACTGAATGAATCCAATCTTAAAATTGAAGCTGACATGATGAAACTTCAAACTCAGGTATACATAAATGTGAAACATTTTCCTATGCTATGTTCAAGCACAATAAATAAATTAAATGCTATGTAAATGCTATGTTTAAAAATAACTAGTCTCCTCTGCACTCCTTTTTCCAAGCTCTTGTTTTTTGTTGTTTTCTGTAAATAAGCAGCAGGTATTGTCTTAAAGATCTGGTGAGTGAGAAATTCAGGGAAGTTTGTAGCTAATCCTAACAAGCAGACAGGAAACATACTTACTAAACAAAACATTCATTTTTCTTTGTTGACCAAACATCTGCTTACCAAACCATGGACGTCCTATGACTTGAATTTTTAGGGATGATAATTCCTCTTACAAACCCTCTCCAAATCTTAATGAGTGTTGAATTCAATGAGTTCTTGTGTGTACCTAAGAAAATTTTCCTAGTTTAGCTCACCCACTGTCAATTATTCAAATAGTTTGACTTTTGCCTCCAGGCAACAGCTGGTAAAAAATGTATACCTTTTGCTAGTTTGTGTAGGAAATTATTTTAATGGATAGTTATGGAAAAGAGTAATTTTCTTTCATTATTTTGTAAACTGGAGAGATTAAGTTGGCTTTAATATGCTGAAAGTGGTTCTACGGAGTGAGCTGTATAGCTTCATCCCTTTGGACTCCTGTATGCACCTGGAAGTTAACCTGGGCAGACTGGGTAAAACCATGAGAAATTTCAGAATTTTCATTTTTTTATTTATAAAGACAACAATAAGAGTGAAATAAAATTAAGTCGGTAAACTGAATATAAACTCAAACTGACCTAAACCAAACTGAGTGTAATCATACCCGCCTGTATTTGCATCACATTGGAATGAGCAGTGTTGACTCATGATGTTTTTGCAATAACCACTGGGTATATGGTCTAAACAAGGTAGAAGCCTGTGCCACCTGTGCTGGATCTAAACAATCTGGCTTCACATTACAGCAGTTGTGGGGATATCCAGCCCAAACTGTGCTGCAGGGGGGCTGTGCTCACTGTCACACTTGGTCCTCTCTGGTGGTCACTGTGCTATTTGCATGGAGATCGCCCAGTTTATGCAGTCAGTTTTCTTCTCCCTGGACTTTCTCCCTGGTGAAGGCACCTTGACCAGCAAAGCCTGAACTGACCTACAGCAGAAAACATAAATCTCCTACCTCCTTTTACTCCACCCCAGCCAGGTGCTAGACTGCTATGAACACCCTCCAGAGGATGCATTGTAGTGGATGGCAGGCACACAAAAAGGGGTTTCTCACGCTGGGGAGTTCTGTGAGACTGTGTGTGCGCAAAGGAAGTAAAGTGGCCACAAACAGGAGGCAGTTAAGTAGTGCAAAGAGGTGCATACCGATAAGGAAGGGAGGGTATGGCAATCGTGGATAGGACTGCACTGATCCATGCCTTGAGGAGCTGTGGCAGAGCACAGGGATGGCAGCCCTTGGTTCTCCCCAGCTGAGCTGACTGCTCCAGAGACAAGGCGCAGGACAGGAGGGAACCAGACCCTACCATTGCTACTTTTGTTTTTTCAGCACTGCTTTTGACATCTAAGCTTTTAGATCTGAGTATATCCCAGAGCTCCCACGTTTAAAAAGATACCATTTTTTTTCAATCTCGGCTGCTTTTCCCTGCTCTTTCCAAAACTCTCCATTCTATTGGTCAGAGATCATCTTTGTGGTACGTGCTCAGCCTCTCAGTTTCCTTTCCACTCTATTTTTTTCTTATTGTTCCCAGCACCAGGCCTGTTGCTAATCCCAGCCAGCCCAGAGCTCACCCAGGAGCAGGGCAGGAAAATAGCACAACAGCTAATACCCGTGCCCTTGCTATTGTGGTCGAGCAGCAGGGATGCTGTAAGAGCAGGACAGCAATATAAACATCAACCTCCTTTCTCCTTCCCCCCGCCAGCCCTGAGGCCACGCTCTGTCCCAGCTCCACACTCCACCCTGACCCTCCTCTCCAAGCTCAATTCCCTCCTCCCACTCTGAGGCACTGTCTAGTGCCTTGCTGCCTCAAGGTTTCTCCATGAACCAGCAGCAAAGTCCATCATTTCAGAGAAAATACAACCTCGCCTTTGCTCTGAATGTTCTGTGGAAAAGCTATGTCTCTCCTAAAAAGAGCATAGTTGAGTTTCAGATTCATCATGGCCTCTCTTGTAATCACCCACCTGATATTTTGGGTTCAAACTGCAGTAACAATACTGCCAAGGGTTTATCTGACTGTGTTTGTGCTGCCTGTCTCTTTTAGATCACATCGATGGAGAGCAATTTGAAAACAATAGAAGAGGAGAACAAACTCATAGAGCAGAACAACGAGAGCCTGTTGAAGGAGTTAGCTGGCTTAAGCCAAGCCCTTATCTCCAGCCTCGCTGACATTCAGCTGCCACAGATGGTAAGCCCACAGCCAGCAGGTTAACACCTTCTTTGGAGATTGTCTTGCCAGCACTTGAAGCAGATGAGCAAAGTCAGGGACCGCAGGAGCACTGGAGCTGCATTAGTAGAGAGCACTTTTAAGCTGATTTGCTTTGCAGAGATGCAGGATCATGAAGTCTGTGTGGTAGTAGGTGCAGTAACTTTCAGGAATACCAGCCCTGGTGTCTCTGCCCTGTACCACACCATGCAAGGCAGGCTTTTCCATCAGACCTCCCTGTCTGAACACCCACCCTGCACAGAGTGAAAACTTCACTCTCATGAGAATCCTCATATACTCAGCTCCCAGATCAAAACTATAACCTGTTTCATGCAGATGATTTTTCTGGAGACAACCAAGCTCCATCTTCTCAAGAATTTCACTTCTTACTTTCAAAAAAAGGCCAAATCCACAGAGGTATCCCTGTTTCCAGGATTTCCTGTTTCCTGATTTCCAGATTAAGAAAGGACAGTTTGGGAGAATATCAGTCATAATCACAGAGACAAATTGGCCACAAAAAAAAAAAAAAAAAAAAAAAAAAAAAAAAAAAATTACACTAACCATAATATCTCCAACTCCTTTTCTTGCTTGGAGAGAGTGTGGATTCCGCAGGACATGCAACTCCTGTAATTTCCACAGCCTTTCCATTAATTTGGATGGCTGCCCTGTTTATGACTTCTCCCCAGTTGCCATATTGCTCCTTTGACATGCTTGGGGTTGGGTGTTTGGGTATTTTTGGCCTTAATTTTACCTCCTACAATTATAATCTGTTTTGTCTCCATTTAGGGGCCAATCAGTGAGCAGAATTTCGAAGCATATGTAAATACACTCACAGACATGTACAGCAATCTGGAACGGGACTATTCCCCCGAATGCAAAGCTCTGCTGGAAAGTATCAAACAGGCAGTGAAGGGCATCCATGTGTAGGATGTGAAAGCTGCTGGGCAACAGAAATTACTTAACAGCAGTAAACTCCAGATGGATCTGTTAGGAGTTCGTGTACTGCTAAGGGGTGTAGGTTGCCATGCTGCATTTACAATTGCAACATTGCACTAATTTTTTCCCAGCTGACATAAAAAAAAAAGAATAAAACCACAACAGACTATTTGTATTAACAGCAATGCACTCTGTTAGTATATTGTATTTATTTCAGTACAATTTCTTTTTTTTTCTTCTTTTGCACTCAGTTTTTGTAAGTGAATGTAAAAAGTGTGTGCGACTATTTTTTATATTTTTTATTTATTTCTAATCAAAGAGTTGGTTTTTTTATCTTTTAACAGCATTTTTGCGGCCTGCCATATTTTTACAAATGTGTTTATTAATTTATTTTCCAATGGGATTTTAAATAGACTGAAAGCTATACTGTAAATTAAATAACTTGCTGGGTTTGTACAGGAAGAAAAAAAAAACCTATGAAAGTAACAAATGACTGAACCATGGTTCTAGTTTTATTTTCCTCACATCCTGCTTTTTTATAATGGCTTTGTATCGGAAATGGGTTTGCAGTAACATGAGATGTGAAGATGCATGGAATGAGAAGATAAATGGTGCCCACTAGTGGGGAACTTGGGCTCTTAAAAGCACAGTATGCTGGAAAACAGTGTGTTAAAGAATATGTTAGCAATAATGAAATATAGCAATCAGCAAAGCACTTGACTTGGCTGTGTGATTTAGCCTATGAGAATGATTATTTAAAATGTTTCAAGAGAACTTCAGATTTATTTTACCACTGCAGCTTTTGTTCAGAGTTAGCTCATGGAGAGAAATGACAATTATCTCTAAACAAGAAGGGTAATTAGGTAGGTGCTGGTACTTTTTTAGTATGAGACGTTGAGATTTTAAGCAAGTGACCAGTATTGCAATGGATTTGGATTTAAAAATCGCAAACACATCCCAAGCTAAAGGCTTTGTACATAATGAGTCGAACACATCTCCCCTGAAATGGCATTTAATACTGGTTTGAAGGTAATGGCAGCTGAGAAGGCAGCGGTCTGGAGGGCAACAACACCCCTCTGGCACCACGGTGGTCGCTTGTCCCTTTGAATGATCAGTAGCAACACCGTGACTGGTTTCTCCCATTCTTCTTCACTAAGACTAGGCTGATACTGAATTTGTCTTCAGTCTTCTGGTAGGGTCCCAAGTGCTACAGAGCAGACAGACAGGCGGAGGTGTGGACAGACGAGCACTTGTGCAGAGGCGCGGGCGTGCGCCTCGGTATCCGGTTAGCCTGGGTGTGGAACTTCTGAATCCGTCAGAAACTAGCGGTTGCTATAACAGAGGCAATGTCTATTTCAGGGATTGTAAGTAATTAAGCATTGTTTCAGAAGTTTTTTTTATATTTATTTTTTTTAAGAAAAAGGTATAAACAACCAGCTAAACTGCCTTTTTTGTATGCACACACACCTCATGTGCATATGTGCCTCAGTGTAAATGTATACATGGATCTAGCGTGTGTTTAATTTTTCCGTGCTATAATGAAAGTGTTTATTTTTATTAGCAGCATTTATATTTAGATTGAATATGATGGCATTCACAGGCTTGACATATACAATTATATTATTACTGTTCCTGCACAAAAGTACTATTCAGAAGTGATTCAACTCTCATGCACTGTGGTCACTGTTCTGCAATTAGGTGGGGCTTGCTTTTTGTTGGGGGGTTGATTCAGCTCTCCGATCTTAGTTTAGACAGAGGAAAATGTGTGTTCTTAGGAGCTGTGTTTATTTTTAAATTGATTTTTCAAAAGCTACCATATGTGCTGTCTAATATAAATAGGAGAACACCAAACAAAAATTTGCTATTATTGTTCTTGCTAAAAACTCAAAAAGCAAACATTTGTTATACTTGTTAAATGCATACAAAAGGAGTTCACTCATTACAAAGACTAAAGTTTAATTTACTAAATATTTTAAAAAATTTGTTATATATTTTATTTAAGTAAAAAAAAATCTCTTACTGACCTATGTATTTATTATTATGATTTACTATGGCTTCAGGTTTATTTATATGTGTTTGGTTGTTTGCTCAGGATGTTCTGTGAAGTATGTTTGTATTTATTTGCCTCCCTTGTACTTGATGTGTTTTGTAATGTGCACTGTTTTGTTTTTTTCTCTTTCTGTTTTTCTTTTTTTTTTCTTTTTGTGTTTAAATGCATTGATGAGCTATACTGTAAATTAGACCTTTTGTAAAGAGCAATGATGTATGCATTTTTTAATTTGGAGTAGTTTGTATACTGTTTCTTCATACAATTAATATTTCTTACATCAAAACAACAAAATTGTGTTCTGTGCTGTACATTTGGTGTATGGTAGGAAATAAAATTGATAATGAAATATTGCAGCAACTTTGTTGGGTTTTTTAGCCTCTGGATGCTGGCTTATATTACACTTTCTTAACTGCACCTGGCACTATAAGATGTGTCAGATGTTTCAGTGGCTTTGTGTATGAAATGTGTCATGCTTGTAAGTTAATTTCTGATATAAATAATTTAATTAGTGTTTTACTTTTGCAATTTGAAATAAGAAGGAGAAAAATAGAACTGCTTAAGAGGTCCTTTTCACTTCTGAAGGGAAAAAATTTCAAGATGATAATCACTGCATTATTTAATGCATTCTTTTCTTGGCAGTTGTAGACTTTATTTGTACTGATAAAGTGCAGGATTTGTGCTGACCTTTAACAGCTGCTAAATGATGTTTAAGCATAAAAGCCATTGTAAACTTTCCAGCGATTCGAAACCGCCCACTGATCCAGCGTAATTTTCTGCTGAGAATTACAGTGCTTAGACATTGCAGAAATAAAAATCTGCTGGTTTTAGAAAGACAAGATTTCCATCTAATGGACTTTCTTTTTTCAGTGCTCATTGTAGCAAAAACAGGAAACAGTTTTATTTAGGATGTGTGCTAATGGCTTCGGGAGCATTTCTTTTTGCAGATTCCAACTTTCCACAGATAAGGAATAATGTTCATTTGGAAAGTAAGTCAAATTTAAATGCCATAAAACAAGCAGCCTGATAATTATTTATTTGAATAGAAATATTTAGATAAACTAAAATGGACTGACACATTAAAAAAAATTACATGTCTTGCATTTAGCTAGAAGGGAATTTAAAAATTTGTATCATATGAACCCGGGATGCTCAAAAATCTTGCCAGGTTTGAAGCTGTAGTGTCACAAAGGACTGGAATGAAGACAGACCTGTCCTGCAAAGCTCTGCTGCAGTGGAGTTCAGAGTTTGTTTTGTTCCAGAACATTTATCCAAGGGCACCATGAACTGGTTCTTTTTATTAAGCCAGTTATTAGTTATCTATGTAATATGACAATTAATATAAAATAGTATTTTTAAGGGTTCTTAAAATTTACTATTAAACTTCTGCTGTGCATCTTCATATCATGAGACACTACTGGGACAGTCTCTTCTCACACATCACAGATGAAGCAGAAACAGGTCTGTTTTAGCAACGTGCCTTAATACTATACAAAGACTAAGACCAACATTTTCATTTTGTCTGGCTGCCTAAATTCAAATCACAAATTTAGAAAATCTTATTGTAACTCTTCTTATGTAATACTCAAACTCTTCTTATGTAATATTTAAATTTCTCTATTAAATATGATTATATTATTATATAATATAATAATATAATAATATTTATTATATTAGGTTTATAAGATTTGGGAAAGGCAGTGGTATGAGGATGTTGGGCTCTACATACACCTAAGAAAACTATGCTCTAATCTCAAATATTTCCAGCAATCTGAGACAAGGATTGTGAGCAGAAAACCACTTTTCCTAGTGGCTTTGGATAGGAATATGATATCCACAGTTAAGTGATTAAATTATTATTATCTAGAGACTATCTACATTCATCTTTAAACAACTTGCTCTGATAATGTTTTGGTGTTGAAATTATGGCCTTTTTCCTTTAAAAAAAAGTGTAAACACTTAACCTATATTCATTATTAAACTAATATAAGCTAGGGAGTTGGGGATATCCCAAACCAGCAAAACCCATTGTGCTTGAACAACCTTTCAAACAATTTTCATCTTTTAAGTTTCAATTTTTAACAACTGTTCTGTAACTGTGCCTATATAAGGGGAAAAATACTTAATTCAGTAAAAATACATAAATTCCAATTTTTTAATTAACTTGAATTGAAGATTTAAATATTAAAGAGAAGGAAGAGGTGCAAGAACAGTCAATATCTGCCATCCTGACAGCTCAGGAAGCCTATTATCTCTTTTAACTAACCATGATGAAGAGTTTTGCATCTATGATGTAGAAAATAGATTCTGTAGAAAAGAGATTCTGCTTTCTACAGCAATTTTATCTCTATTTACTAATTACTAAATTACTCTAATTACTAATAATTACTAATTACTCTATTATCTATTTACTAAGCATCTCTTCTATCTTGCTGACTTAGTGTATATATCTAACTGTGTCATGGCTTTTCTACTCAATGCCCCTTCGTCCTACTTACACTGTACTTTTAATAAGTCACAGGATTTCTTGATGGGAATTTGTTATCCTGCAGTGGCACAGAGTTATAACACAAGTTCTCTCCTTGGTTTCCTCCTGTGTTCATTCAGTGCAATACATTCTACCTGTCTCGGAAATTCTGCTACACCTAAAATTTTTATGATTTATGCAGGTGTGTAACTTGGATGCTGCCAGGAGATTTGCACCAGACAAAGTCCCTTGTTCAACTTGTTCAGGATACTGTGGGATGATAGAGCTCCATTTAGCTTTTGTGTAATGTAGGGCAGTGACCTACTTTCAGTACCTTTCAATATCTCGTTCTGGCTTGGTTTTCTTCTGCCTCTTTTGCTCTAGTAAATCTTAGACAGCCAAGCTTACACATAATTGCATCAGGGATTAGTCTGATTTCCTGTCTGACTTCATGGTACAAATTGCTTTAACTGCATTTCATTCTTACCAAATGTTCCCTGGGACATTGTCTAAGTAAATCTCAGGACTTTTCAGTTATGTGATAGCAATTACTATTTAGGTTGCTGCTGTCTGTTCCTGAAACTGTTACTGCAAAAGATTTTTTCCAACCAGCTTTTGGTGCCCAGCACCAGCTTTTGGTGCCCCGCTTCACATCCCTTGGAGTAACCTAATTTTTAGAAATTAAATGCACAGCTGGTTTTGCCAAGCAGGGTCTTTTCCAAATTCTCTTCTCTGGCCAATCCAAATTACCAGCTACTAATTTTTCATATTATTTCATAGCATTGTTTTACATATATATATATATATATATGTATGTATGTATGTATGTATGTATGTATGTATACACACACACAAACACACACACACAAATATATATACATATATATATACACACACACATATGTATATATATATATACACACATATAAATATATATACACACATATATATATATATATATATAGTTAACATTTGTTTGCTTGTTTGCACAAACAATACATCATAAAATTCCAGGTGGGTACTTCTATCCGTCCGAAGTATTGAAGAAAACATCACTTTTGTTTCCCCAAGCTTGGTTCGAAACCTTATCCAGCTCCTCATTCATTGTTGGTGAGGACCTTTTTTATCTTTTTAAACTTTTTCTTTTCTTTTGACACAAACTTTTTAAAAAGGAATAAAGAACAAAGGAATTAATCTAATTCTTTCTTTAACTGATGATACTGTCTGTCCAAACATTTCCCTGAAGCTGGGGCTAGGGCTGAAGCTATGTGGCTGGCAATATTCCCTGATTACAGTAACATGTAGCATCTTACAGGCACCCTCTGCTTATTTTGAAAACAATAAAAAAAATCTGAATTAGGATGCAGGTTCTATATTGATTTCAAAATTATTGGGATGAAACTGATCTGATCCTTTAGATGCAGGATGAGCTTAGTTCCTTTGGAAGAGAAGTGCCTAGAATTGGGAGTTGGTTTCTTTAATTCTGATGTATGGTCAAAAAAATTTTAGGAAAGGAATGAAGGTTTTAAAAAGCTCATAAAAACTTACCAGGAGAATGGGTGTAAGTTGAATTCCTTCAATGGAAGTGCAGTGCCATCTCCACAGACTGAAGAGCTGAGCTCTGCACAGACACACGTGGAAGAGGTACCGCACATGAAGCACCAGTGCTGAGGACTGTGAGGGGGCATCCTTGTGTTTTCCAGCTGGCAGGAGACAAAACAGCACTTCAGAAACCCCAGACTGAGGCCTTACTCAGGTTTCTAGGTAACCCTGAGCAAGATATTTGATTCTAGCTCTGTTTCCACATCTGGGAAATGAAAATCACTCCAAAGTGCATTGGGAATGAGCAATGCCAGTCTTACACAAGGGCATGAGGTAGAGATGTGTGTACAGTGAGGGAGAAAGAGCCAGAGCAGATGTAATGTAAGGGCATATAACACCCCTCCCCCCTTTTTTTTTCTTTATAAGACATTACAGTCTTCATTTTATTGCCCTGCTGCTTACATGGTTTCACCTGGAGATATCTTTCAGTTAGTGCTGCTGGCCAGTCTCAAACTAAATTTTCAAAATGCAGAAGCTAAATTTCAAAACAACAAAAGCAAAGGCCATAAAAGCAGAAGTATTTTTATTGAGATAATGGAGCTCCTACGGATTTTGTGAAAAATCAGCTGATTGCTATGAGAGCAAAATTATGATTCATGGGAAGAGGGAAGAGGAGGGAGGTTCAGCTGTTAGAGCTTCTGTTTGGCAAGGGCCAGCTCCAGATCAGCATGACGTACAACTCAGAGTAGCAGCAAGAGTTAGTGCAAAGCTGGCCAGAGAACTGTGCTTGTGCGCTTGGTGCAGCGTCAAAGGATGCAAACAGTAGAAGTCTCATGTGTGAGTGTAAATATTTCAGCAAGAATGAAGGTAGAAAAGCAGTGACTATAGTCCTCTGTTTATTAGTGGCAGCTGCACAGTTGGGGCACAGGGCAGAAAGCCGTGGGGGTCCCGTGAGAGCCACACAACATCAGCTCCACCCAGTGCAGAACAGGCCTGTTTTCCAAATGTGGGTCTCTACCTATTTTGTCACACTAAATACCCTCTCCAGGTATGGGATCATCAGTAGTGTTACTAACCCTCCTTCCTGGGGAAGCACACGGTACCTCTGGGCTCTGGTCCACCGTAGGATGAGTTTATATCTGGAAGAATGAAGGTATTACCCAACATCAGCAGGGCAGGCTAAACCTTGCTGGGGAAAACCCCAGAGGTGCAAAACTCCAATGGCCAGTACATCTGCTTTCGCAGGTTGGGGTTTGGTGCAGGTGGCTGGTGGTGAGGAGGAACCAAGGCTGGCTGCGTGCCTTTTCCCCTCTGCCTGGTGGCACCTTCCCACGTACTGCCAGCCCC